CAAACACTTTGGGAGACACGCGCTGTTAGTTAAGCGTTTGGGTGATTAAACTATGTCCTTGAGTAAACGCCAACAGAATTTTTAACAGTTTTCATATAACCGAGATGGATTAAGGCTGATCCCGATATAAAATTACAAGCTTAAGGTACTGGCATTTTAACAATAATAAAATAAGTATGGACGATGCATGGACGATGAATTTTCACCCACATACGTTACAAAAATTAATTACTATAACTTATCAATGATTAATTTAGGTTGCCCACCGCGATGCTTTTGCAAAAGCCGCCTCTATCCTCAAAATAAACGATCCATATCAGCGAACTTATTGACGCCATTGGTCGAGAAATCTCAGACAAGTTTCTTGATCTGGTATTATTATTGGTCTCTGTATTTAAGCAAAACTAAAATGACGTAACCCTCTTAATGCAACTGTAAATAAAATAAAGCTAACTTTTATTATACAAATAAACGGATTCTGCACTTGTATGCCTGCTTCGCTTCAGTTTCCACCGTACAAACTTGTACAAAAGCACTATGTTGTCTTTGTTTTTTTAAACATAATAAAAGGGACGACGATATTACATGTTTCGACAAAGGTCATTATGTCTTGCCGTTTCGTTCAGAAAGCACATTCCTTGAAACTGGTCAGATATGTGCTATTGTCAGAAGTATTCCACAATTAATATTCATAAGATGTTAAAATAAAAATGTAGTCTACTAAAAACAAACCATTGATATTCAGATTTGTAAAATAGTAATACGGACTTGGAAGAAATTTAGCATTAATGTTGATACTGCCACATTTCTTTGCGATCTTGTCACACGACATACAAACAGGTTCAGTGACATTAGGAATCGAGAAAGGATAAGTTGCTTTGACTTAATTAACTTAGAACTTAAATCGTTGAAGAACCTGAATTCGGCTGCAGCAAGTGTACTACTTTTGGATTAGCTTTCTCGACTTCGAAAAAGTTCTAAAAGACTGAAATTGATCTTGTATAATCCCCTTTTAATTAATTGTTGAGGCGATGCTACTACTTAAAGTACTGATTCTCCATAATAGGGCAAAAGGCGTCCACAATGCGCCACCTGCTCGCACCATCTTGGGGCCTGCATTTGGTTTATAACATCAAAAAGAACCAGTAACATTGCACACTACTTGTAAAGGGAACAGAGATAGTCACATCAGAAGAACTTAACTTATACTTAAAGAATATGATTATAAAACTTGAAAGTTATAACGCATATCAGCACGCTTGTTTTTTCTAAAACTTCGGGGTCGTACCGCGGAATGCATTCAGGACCTGCATTATGAGGATTCAGCAAACTGGGCACGTTCAATGTCTTATTGTGAGCTTGACTCGTATCTTTTTCGGCTGTCACTTTAAAAGAATCCATTCCAAGATGTGAATGAGTGTTGAATCATAAGCGTTGTAGATAGGTCGACGGTCGATGGTTGGCAGACCGCTTTTTGTTATTATTTTTCTTTACGAATCAACTCGTCAAGGTCAGTTGAGTACTCAATGGTTTTCGGTACTTTAACGGTAATTGTTTTTAACTTTCACGATAAATATTCAACTTGTGTAAATGTCATGCTTGTCATACTTGTATTTTGGTAAACATAATTGAGATGCAAAAGTTTACATCAGGTGTGGGAAGTGACCATAATATGGCAGGACAACATTCTTGATGGATGCTATATGATTATATTCTTTGTTATACGATGGGTCAGATGTTAACGGAAATCCTTTTACATATCTCTAAAAATAACCTTTTAATTCCAAGTACACACACATAAAAAGATTTGTGAAAAAGATAATGTACAGGGATATCAAAAGAGGATAAATAATTTTGAAGCGTTTTCAATTGTTTTTAAGAATGTCTGGAACATAAAATACTGCATAACTGTGTTAAAATATTTATGTACAAATATATAAATGTAAGTAGGAATTAACATGAAATTAATTCCACCTCAAAGGGAAACTCGGATTACATTATAACACAGATTTCTAGTGTTACATGAAACCACAAAACATCACATATAGCTTCCCAGGAATTAGCGATAAATTAATTTCAGTTAAGTCTTCAAGAGCAGAAGACAACACTAATTATTATGTCTAGACAAGAGATCTTCTAAAGTGTTGTACTATTGAATAACTTAATTATCTTGTTACATTGACATTACTTGACTCGTAATTACCTACAAAGCCACATCCCAACCAACATTTTCTCTATCTTAAAGCGTGCGCACACCTGAAACTAAAATATCGCACCACTGTTTAGTGTCGATTTGATTCGTATGAGCTTATATGGAGGTGCGTATACTACTCAATTTTACTTGTGCAACTAAACAGTTGAATTGACTGCGAAACAATCGACAATCGCCCTGCTCTTAATTGTTAAATCAAGTTCGTGCTTGATTTGAATATGTCTTTGTATAAAATGTCGTTTAATTAAAATTCTAACCTATTATAGTTAAATAATCGGGTATGGTAATCAATCACAAGACAATGGAATCTAAAAGTCGAGCAAAAACAGTGAATTAGGCGTGGCCGATGCGATCTTGTTTTCGCTGAGCGAATTTAGGCATACATCAGATATGCTCCCGCGCCATGAATATCAACACTATACATTAACATGCTCGACCAAAAAACTAACTGTAAAAACGAGTTTATTCATTGTATTATTATTTTAAAGTAAACTAGCTAAGAGCGTTAAAATGCTGCCGTTTTGTTTACGACATTAGTTTTTAAACAATCACCGCTTTTAAATTAAACATCTTATATTTCTGAGAATTAAAAAATATATCTATGTTAACTTAAAGTGTCTGCAACAGTCTATCATTCTTTTACTGAGTTTTCTGGTAGAGTAAGCGATTTAATAAAAACGAGTTTGTTTTCTTTTCTAACGAGAATTAATAAAGCGAATTTTCAATAAAAATATTATAAACAAATATAGAAACAAAAGAATGAAATCATTAACTTAAAAAATACTAGCACATCCTTAATTACCTTACTTGTACTACTGATCTGACCTCTTCTTCACCTTGACACTTAACGGAATTTAATTATTTTTAGTTGTTGATTAAAATCAGATTGAATATTCTTTTATTTTTTAATAACTGGCCTTTATTGTATGTAATCTAGATAAATACACGTTTTAAATTCTTTTTTGTTCATATTAAATACTACAGTATAATATAGTTAAACCAGCTGTTCCAGTGCGGCTTCAACCGCATGAAATTGTGCAAATTTTATTTTATTGTTTACATATGTCAAATTATCAATAGCAAATGTCAAAATGACATGACATGACAAACCTTGGCAATCTTGTTTCCTTGATGTTGGCAGTAACTGGTATCTTTCCCATATCAGGGTTTTTATCCAAAAAACTTACCCCCTAAGTTTAATGCCGTGAAAATATATAACCTAAAGCGTGACGTAAGTGTAGGGCTTTTTATTTAAAAAAGAATTATTCAGAAATATGTTGTAATTGCTGACATCTTAGGCAACAAAGAAATGTGTATTTACGCTTCATTATAATAGTATAGATATACATAATATAGATATAGTACTAAAGTTAACCAACAACAGTTCCTATCATGACCTCAAAGAGTAATGGCAATGGGGTAAAACCTGCGTATAATTGTGGATTTCTTTTGGTAACTAACGTGTTCGGACTCCTTGTTACTTTTTCCTCATTCTATACGTAAAGTATGGTATTTTAGATTTCTTTACGGTATTTTAGGTAAAAAAAAATCCTTACCATAGACATGAAATATCTATATTGTTTCTCTTTTAACATTTTCATAATGAACATTGTGATGGAATTTGTATTGCTTGTTTGTGTGGCTGTTAATAGACGAAACAATCATCCTTAAAAGGAAAGAGGGTCATAATTAAGGGGACATCGAGGGCCGAAAAAAAACCGGAATTTGAACATTCAATAAATTTAGATTTGTCACTGTCTGACGTAATATAACGTTTTTCTTCATTAAGGTATAATATCAAGAAAGCCACGGCAAATTGGTTAAACGTTGTAATGTTCAAGCCTTAAAATATTTTTAAGGTTAATGTATGATGCACAGCCGTTGTCAAATTTGGCATCTTCAATATAAAATAGTTGTCATTGTTATCGATAAATATCAATTAAAATGCACTTGATTTCCTGCGTTTACTGCGTTGAATGATCTATCAATACTATTATAATAAAGCGTAAACACACACTTCTTTATTGCCTAAGATTTCAGCAATTTCAGCATATTTTTGAATAATTATTTTTATAATAAAAAGCCCTACACTAACGTCACGCTTTAGGCTGTATTTTCACGCTATTAAACTTAGGGGGTAAATAAATTGGATAAAAACCCTAAAGTGGGAAAGAGGCCAGATGCTGCTGCCAACATCAGAAGCAAGATTGCCATAGTAAGGTTATTGGTATTTTGACATTTGCAATCGAGTATTTGATAAATGTAAACAATCAAATATTTTTTTTAATATGCAGATGAAGCCGCACGGGAACAGTTAGTTTATATTATAAAATTAAAAAGTCTGTTTGTAATTTAACACATAATTTGGAACCAAGTTTTCTTGGAAGCACCTTTATCCTTTACTTCAAATTTAATTTTATTGCCTACCATAATACTCCCATAAATATATCTTGTAACTCGTACATTATTATAAAAGCTCTTCTTTTATTATTGAATACACTGATTAATTACTATTTGGAACGAAAGTATTATGGAAAAGTACAAACATTCCAAATGACGACAGCCTCATAAACACCTACTTTAAAGTTATGTAAAGTACATAATTTACTTGTATATCTGATCGTATCTTAGGGTCGGTAATAAAGAGGACAATGCCTTCTGAGACATTCAAGTGTGTTTAAATTTCGTTATAAATAGAAAACAAAATTTTTTCGGCTACATGAGGAAAGATCCGTTTCAAATTTAAATGGGTTTATAACTGTTAACCGTTAAAAGAACATATTTAATATTTCAATTCTTTAATAAATAAAACAGTATGAATATTAAAATAAGAAATTAAAAATTAAAATTTATAGACTTCGTAATCGGCGTCGCTCGGAGTATCCTCTAAGTGAATAATTTTCTCAACATTTTCATTAAAAGTTACAACCGACTTCCTTCTCGCTTTCTGCGTTTCTCCAAACTCATCTTCGTCGTCTGATGTTTCAGCTGCGTCTTTTAATTTATCAATTGATTGTATAACAATCGGCATTCTTTGCTCTGGTGTCGGTACATCAACAACTGTATCCGGTTGGTTGTCATTTTGTGTCGACGTTTCAGGCGCATCTAAAATATCTTGTAATCTCCTCTCACTCCTCTTCAATTCCTCTATATTGATTCTCGGTTTAACTGGTTCTTCAATCTTCACCGTTGGCGGGTTTTGATCTCTCGATGCTAAACTATTTTGGTCGCTAAAATTATTATAATTGTACGTCTTTCTCCTGCGGATGAAAAATAATACCTTAGACACGTACAGTAAAATGACTATGAAAAAAAATTAACGACATTCTTACCATTTTAGAAAAAACCACACCGCGAATATCACAATTAGGATGAAAAGTAGAATACTGAGTGCTATTGTCGCTGCTAACAAGCCCGTATCACGTGCTGGGAGTGAGCATATCTCACGACTTTCTAGATGATCTTCCAGTGATACAGTCCTAGCTATGTTACCCATAACAATATTATTAATGTCACTGAAAAACAGTAAAACTTTTTATTGGAAATGTACGCAATATTAAGGTTAAAACGGTTTTAAAATACTCACGAAGTAAGTCGAGAAACTTCAACAGGTTCACGGTTTATTAATCCATAAATAAACAGTTGTAAGAGAGCTCCATCACTAACAGCCGCTCGATAACTTCCATTTGTATGTTCATTGGTTTCATAATCCATAGGCAAGATGACACTTCTAAGAGACTTGACTTCATAGCCGAGAGCGTTCGTCAAATTTGATAGAACGCTGTTTTCATCTTCCAAAAACGCGCCTTGAATTGTTATAACAGCGATTTGATGGAAATCTAACAATCGTACCTGAAATTAAACACAAATTTATAATTTTTTGATTAATTTCACCATATGATTTTTGTAGAGCTATGTTCTTACTAATTTTGGGATTTAGAATCTAAGATTTTTTTAAGGATTTAAAAAGTAATATAAAATCAATTAAGATGACGGTCTAAAAATAATACATTAATTTTACATATGTAGAGAATTTAGAATATAGATATTTATGAAAAGAAACGAAGTGACAAGGAAATAGTATGTGGAATAGATTTTGTATATTTTGACCATGAGGTAAATGAAAGCATGGTATATAATATACGTGTAAAAAATTCTTTAGCCATGACATTATAAATACTCCACTACCTATAGATAAAAGATTTTATCAAAAGGAAACTAAGCTTCATATGTAAATATCAAAAGTAGAAAAGTCATTGCTGCCATTTCTCTGAAATTTAAACAGGATCAGATATATCAGATCATAACTTGTATATTTTTTTTTCATAAAATATATTTTTGAAAATGTTTTATTACTGATGTTACAATGTTGAAAAGGAAAACAACGTTGGTGGTAAAACATCAATAAATTAGCCACAAATACATACTAAGGTAAATTTCGTCGGCAAACGAAATTTTTATATCACGTTAATTTGGAGTGTATATTGCTTTCGAGGTTTTTAGGTCAGATCGTATTATTATTGTTTTATTATTTTTTCCATAGTTTCTTTATATGGACAAATCTAAATTTAAATTATACAAGATTTCATTTATTATAAAGCTATTATCGTAGATCATTCGTGTCTTGACCTTCCGGCATATTCCATATAAATTAGTTGATTCAATTTACAACTATATTTCGAGTAATTTAATTTAAACGAAATTGTTCAAGAGTAATAATAGTTCCTGAAGGGTTATAAATAGTCACAAATTGTGTTTTTTTAATATAAAAATCTAAGATTTTCCAGCTAAAATCTGTGCATCAAATCTCGACTATCCACTTCCATTTCAAATTCGCATATTAAATTGTTTGAGTTTTTTCAATTGTTATTCAATTGATTCGCTGACGTCATTAACTAGAACTATTTACGGAAACGTCGACCAATATACAAACAATGCCAATTTTGATCTATTTATTTTTCTTTTTAAGATAATGCTGCTAAATTATTTAAGAAAAAACACAACTTCCTTTTAACTATGTCATATTTTTAGCTACAAAACACCATTATCTTTGTATGTATGCAGAAAGATATTTGTTTTTACCATTTTGAGCGTAAAACAAGAGTCGTTTTACATTTATGATAGGTAGAGCAGTAGAACAGTGCAGTACATCAATGGTTTGAAAGCATTCTCAGTGGCTTAAAGTACTGGTCTGCTAAGCTATTCTGCTTTCGTACATATAGCATTATAAGTTAGATCTAGTGTGTTGTTGTAAAAAGAATAAAATGTACAAGGGTCGTATCGATCAATAGAGTATTTGCTCCTCAGTGTTTTAATGGCACGAGTGGTATTCGAGACTTAACTTGTTATCTTACGTATCCGCACACTAAATTAAAAGCAGTTAAAAGGATTCCGTGTTAGTTTTAAAAGAACCTTTAAGAGTCACATTTTCTAAGGTTCAAAAAATGTATTGTTGTTTTTGAAAAGAGATTATGTCATAAAAACTAAGGGTCAGTGTAATCTGGCAAGCTTGCGGCTGGCTTAGTTAAACTATTCTACAATACCACGAATTTCCATGAACAATCTCTCTCTTACGGAATATTCCACTTGTTTTCATCGGCATGTGAGTCTGAGAAGATTTTTGTATTAGTTTTTTAAAGAATACATCATTATGTTTCACTAAAAGACCGAATATGATAAAATTAATAATAAAACCTTAAATAATACAGCACAATTGATATCTAAAATGACTTATTATAAGTTTCTTGTTATCATAAAAGTAACAGACCTTAAGTCGATCGGAACCCTTTTTTCATGGAGACGATTGGAGTTTGTTTTTTTTTTTTTAATTTCAATGTTGTGTTGTAATAAGCACGTCTCCATAAATTTTGTAACCTAAAAATGCTGGCCGGTGAGAAAAAAATATTATCGATTCGTCGTATCGTTAGTGGCACACGTCCTTGTTTTCGTTGTGTTTCTGTCCCGATGTAACAGTAACGCGTTTTAATGATTTTTATTATGATAAGCAGGATGTGATAACGATGGCACACCTAGAAAACTTGTACGACAGGTTTAATGCACCATTTTGCGGTATGGTAATAAGTTGAGCCAAAGAGATATAGAGTATATCTGTGTTAATTTTTCGTAAAAAAATAAAACATAAGATTCAGTGATGTGAAATCCGAGTTTAAGCAATCTATACCCATGAGGATTTCGACTTTAAAAACGGACACATTGAATAACGGACCCTAAATTGAATCCGTGTCGAAGTCAATATTTGTGTGACCTGCAAGCGCCGATTGGTTTATAATGTGGATTTACCGTGCAACTGACTGTATTCGATTGAAAATTCAAATCTACCAGGAAACGTTAACAGACGTGGGTGCTTGTGTACTTTTTTAATACATTTTAAAAATACTGTCGCTTCGTCGCAGTTTTAGCGAAATTTGATGGTCATTTACACTTACCTTCTGCTATAAAACAAAATATTTCCAAAGGCGTTAAATGTCTACATATAATCCTGGTCATTGTCGCAATCATTATTTGGGTTTCTCGGCATTTCTTGGTTTTAGAAAGAGACTAGCTTTTGCCCGTGTGGTATTAAAAAATACAAAACCTGCTAGCCGATATTTTCTTCCATACTATCTACGTCTATGCAAAATTTCATTAACTAATTTAGGCATCAAACACTAACAAACATCCATCCATCTAAACTTTCGCATTAAAATATTAGGATGAAGTAAGATTACCATAATGTCAATATTTCCAGTGCGTCCGTCTACTCCGTTACGGTCCGTGGCTGATACCCTGAGGATGGCGCCGGGCTGCAGCAGGGAACTGTTTCTAACGTGCACGCGGCCTGTAGTGGGTGACACCGCTAGAGAAGTCTCCAAGCTCCAATATACCAGGGCTGCGTTCTCTCCAATATCTGCATCAGTCGCCTGTAACAATAATGAATCAAATTCCTGTTTTAACATTTATTCGTGCATTTTTAAAGTATTAAAATCACTCTATTGCTAGCTTATTGCACTAGCTTATTCCTCGCGACTTCGTCGACGTGGAATTAAAATATAGTGAAAACCATTAAAATCGGTCCTGTGGTTTTTGAGTTATTACAATACATACAAAAATACAAATCTCTCTTCTTTATAATATTAGTATAGCTCAGCAATTTCTCACATAAAAGTACATTTTAATAACATAGCAGTGTGGTTAAAACTCAATTATGTCTATGGTTTCACAGATTTACATTAAGCAAAATTTAATTTTAATATTCTAAGGCCTCTCAACTATTAGTAATTTTCTTGATTGAAATGTTTTTTTTTTTAATTTCATAAAGTATGCAGATAAGTTTCATCATGAATCCAAGCCTGTTTTATTCATTTATTATTATTTAATTACATTGAGATACGAACTGGTACGTCAGGTTTCGTCCCCAAACCCTATGACTAAGCGTGTGTCGGACATTCCATTGTATTGCGCGATTGTCCCTTCGAAAAGTGTCAGCTACACGGTATAAAGTCTTCATATTTCATACGCTTTGAGGAAGTTCAAAAAAAAACCTTTAGAAAAAAACTAAACAAGAAAACTTTACGACGACGATAAGATATTATACGAAACATTTTAAAAAGAATCCAAATAATATTCGCTTATGCTCGGTGTGATGTCATGCAATGTAACTCTCGGGCGGGTTCATAAAATACTGAACAAACGTGTCGTCTGACCGAAAATTTAAATTAATAAAACATTATGCAGTCACTCTTACAGTTTTATTTAAATACAATGAAATTTTCTTTAAGGATAATTATGAAAAATGTTGTAAGTTAGAGTCTCTTCTGTTAAATTCAATAACTCCTAAAAACAAGTGACTACGATATCAGTGTAGTGAAAGGTTAATTTGCAAGTTCACTTATTACATATATCGATCAATCTCAAAGCAAAAGCAGCACCTTGTAGTACCTTAGAAAATATATTTATATTTAATGTGTCTTTCTGTTTTATATTAAACTATTAAATATGTCATAGAATATGATATTAGCTAAGTCTTGTACCGGATATGAGATAGACTGGATTAAATTTTAAGAGCTCTGGTCTCAAAGATTATTGTGAAGAAGTATTTTATGACGAAAATATTATAGGATGATGATCGATAGGAGTGCGTTCAAAAACTAGATTTTAAGTAATTTAATGTATATTAATATTATAAAGATTATATATGATTTGTATTTTTATATGTTTTGAAATAACACAAAAACTAGTGGACCGATCTCAAAAATTATTTTACCATTAGAAAGGTAATTTATCTGTGATTAACATAGGCTATAATTTTCATTGTTAATTTCACAGGGACAACAATCGACTTGCTGCGTGTTTTCTCGTACCAATAAAAATGTAAAATAATATTACTTTATAGATATCACTATTTTAACAAGAATTCAATTAAATAAAATACCCACCGTAAGTTCCACTAAAGCTCGAGGAGGAACTATCTCCTCTATTTCAGGTAGTGGATATCCAACTGCTATTGGTTCATAATCCTTCAATTCAAATATAGGATCATTATCATTAATGTCATTCACAATTAAATTAACAAGACTTCGTCTGGGTTCATACGAAATATAGTCTGTTAGAATCCATCTATAGGTACCGTAGTCGTAAGGTCCCAAAGACGTCGTAGATACATTGTTGAATGAGCGTTTACTTCCAACTTTAACTTCATTATTACATTCTAAGATAAGTTCCACTTGTATTTGAGATAATGCCATGAACGCTATAGAGTTATGTTCTCTGTCTATAGCATTCGTGTGAAGTCCATTGTCATCTACGTATAGCCATGTCTGGTTGACAGGCCAACGGTTTGTCATTTCATATCGACAGTCTTGAGATGTATTTAGTGTAACGAGATTGTTGTAAGGTGACTCTTCGTCTTTTTCTATAATGATTAGAGGCGGTAAACCCACTTCTTCGCCTGATTCAACTATCAATATAACCTGAAATAAAAATATATGAATTAAAAAAGAATTTGAGCCTCATACTTAATAACATAAATGCGAAAGTTTAGATAAATGGATAGATGTTTGTTAGAGTTTGTAACCTAAACAGCTAAACGGATCTTCATGAAATTCGGCACAGACGGCATGACGGCATAGCCTGGAAGAACACATAAGCTACGTTTTATCTTGGAAATAGTTACGGTTCCGTGGGATGCTTAAATTCTGTTTTTTAATGTTTACTCGATAATTCTGTAACGGTTCAATAGATGTTATTGAAATTTGGCACAGATATAAAAAAATCTGGTTTACACATGGATTAAGGAACCCGGAAAATATCCATTTCCCAAGGGACACGTCGTTTTTTTGTTTATTTACATAGTTCGTCTGTTTTCTAATACCACGCGGATGACGTCGTAGGCAATAGCTAGTTAAAAACAGTTTTTAGATATACGTTTTACTAAGTACCGGAAAATCAATAATAAAATTAATTGCTTAAACGTTGCAAAAATAAAAAAACATATAAAAGGCAGTTGCCTTTTATGATTTGTTTCAAATAGGTTTTTTTATCGTCACTACTAATATAAATGTGCATATTTTGGGTAACCTGCTTAATGGATTTAATGACATATATTTCCTGTACTAGATAAGTAAGTCTATTAAAGGTTTTAAATAATTATTTTATTTGTTTAGATATAACCTCATGTACAAAAATCAATGAAGATCACCTTTATAAAGGAAAATGTTTTAAATAATAAAAAAAACCTGAGTTCATCATCAAAGAGATACCAAGCAATGGTTGAATCAATAAATGTTATTAAGATTAACTAAATAATTACTTATTTAATATTATACATGCGAAAGTTTAGAGTGATGTTTGTTAGAGTTTGTAGCCTAAACGGTAAAACGGATCTCAATGAAATTTGGCACAGATGTAGAGGATAGTCTGGAAGAACTCATAGAAGAACACTTTTGTTTTTTCTATAATTCCATGCGTACGGGGTCGCGGCCAAAACCTATTTCTGGAATAAATGTAACAAGTAAAAAGTTGAAATAACAGCTTTGAAAGAGTAACAGTCAGTAATAAATATTAGTTATCGTGGACAAAGAACCTAGGCTCAGTAATTCTAGATTACTTGGAGTGTTCCAGCGAAAGCTAGGAAATATATAGAACAAAGTTCTTTATTCTAGTTTCCTTATAATGGCAACTGTAGAAAATATTAAATTCATAAGATCACATTATATTTGTCATTACATTTGTGATATTGTATACCTATTTCTTTGAATTCGTATTCTTCGCAAGTTACAAAATAAACGTATGTACATTATCGTCTCATCTTACAAAAATAAAGCAACTTAAAGAGTAATATAAGAAGCTTAGAAAACAACTACGTATCATATATGTTTGCAGTAATAAGAAACACTTTTGTTCTTGTACAGATATGAATTTATTTGGTTCCAAGAAATTGAGAATATACGAGTAAGAAACCTAATAGATAGAGATTAGTAACAAGATGATGTTGAAAATAGTTTTCACATAACAATCTTTTTAAAAATAAAAGCTCTACGGATTGTTGTGATACAATGTACATAATTTTATCTAAACAAATGAATCTGCCCTGAATAGCTAGTTTGGAATTAAAAAAGAAACAACATTCAAAATTAACACAATACCTATACAGTATTCTGTCACGTGAAATAAAATAAATTCAATCTTAGTAGTTAGTTTGATATTGCCTTTGTATAATAATTTACGATATTGCTATAATAGGAATCTTTTGAGGTGCCAATTATTGTAAAGGATTTATCGAGAAATGGAGACTGTGAATTGGAACGTAATTGGAACATCTATTTTAGTATTATTACGTGTGATACAAGTGTATTGATGATGTCAAAGAGCCATCAATTGGTACGCTAATATTTTTTTCTTTTGCAATAGTATGTTAGATAATTTGTCAACAGGGGAATTATCATAAATATCCGTTAGAACGTTTTTGTAACGTTATTGATAAAATTTAGTTTAAAATCAAGCTGGAAAGAGGGCTCTACCGGTCGTAGAGAAAACAATCAAAGCTCATAATTTTTTGTCGATGACGTTACGAATATGATTTCGCAACTGTTATGCTAGTATTCATGATAGACCCTCTTTTTGAATCTACTAGATTAACATGTTTCATAGTCCGTACTCTAAGCCGCACTGGTAAGTTTAGTTGTCTATTGGTGTACATTTTTCAAACTAAAACTGGACTAAAGATAATTTTAGAGACTGTTAGACTCTGACGGCCGAACATGTAACGGACTCTTAAATGATAAGGCCACTCTTAAACTTAAATCAACAACAAAGTCAAAAAGTTTTGACAACTATCAGATTGTAAGTGGCGGTTACGAATTGCAGTATTTAGGATTCTTATTAGTTCTCGGCCATGAGCGTATTAGTAGTTAAGCTCAAGGGAAGTCAAAGTTAGTTCGTTATATTTTATTATTTTACAAAAGAAATTTTAAACAGTTATTCCGCGTGTGCAAATTCCTACAGAAACGCACACACATGTTAAATACCGCTACTTTACGGAGAGATTTTTATGACATTGTCTTTCCTGTTGTGCGCAAACAAATAATTTTATTAAGTGACAGCTAATTTAGGTTGCCCCGGGCTTCGTATCTCAATTTTGTGGTTTACAAGGTATTAAAGAGGTCGTCCAGGTCGAAATTCTCATAATTTCAATTTAGTAAACCAGATAGGCATTCTCTTACGCTTGAATGTGATATATATTATGGTAATAATTATGTTCAGCAAGTCTCTTTAATAATTTAAAGGCACTTTAGAGTCAAAAATATATTCTATGTTGTGCTTGAAGTATATTCTGGTGAAATTTTTCTAAACTTTTTTAAAAAAAGTTATACTTCAATGATTCATTATTTAAGCTTCGTTTTAGCGCTTATTAAATTTAAATAACAGTACAACATTTATATGAATATTAAAGAGTTAACATTTCACTTAACAACTTCATTTTTGGCACCGTGTTAATGACAACCATCATTTATAATTTCGTTATCATCACCAAATTAATTGCGATAAATAAACATTTTATTTCATTAGTTGTATTGTTTTTAATATATTATGGGACAGGAATTATCAATCAGTTTGGAAGTTAGGGACTTCTGAGAAATGTATGCATTGTCCTTAATCCTTCTGAGAATTTTTATTTAATTTATTTGTCGTTTGTCGCGTAAATTTTTTAATTTATTTCTTTGGCGAATTCTTTCTTCGGACAGTTCTGATTAGATGAACAGTTGATTATCTAAAGGTATTAAAAATCCCTACTAATAAGGATAAAGGATAACTAAAATCAATAACATTAATTAGCTTGATTTATATTACATTCTATTTAAAACAGGGATTTTTGTAGCCCCAATAAATGGTGAATATATTCGTAGCCCACCATTAAATTTTGTAGAAACGTCGTTAATAAAATCTAGGAATCTAACCTAGTTACTAGAGGAACTACAAATGCGTTGCCGGCCTTTGAGGAAATGATAGGATCGTTGAATGATCCTAAGTCGTATCGGCTTTAAGTCTTAACTCTCTCGTAGTTACTTTACTAGTTCTTTTCTTTGTTCGCATCTCATATACATCTATTATATGTTACCTACTTCGTAAGTTTTATGAAGTAAATATTGAAATAGAAACGCAGACTTATTTGTCTGCTGTGCTACAAAACAGCCACTTGTATAGTCGCTCGCGGGAATTCATTCTTTCTATTTTCTCTTTACTCTTATTTATGTTTTATTATATGACAAACTTTCCTGGAAAACGTCTTTTATTATTTTCATCTTCTTTGTCAAATATTGTGGAGATGAGTGTTTCAATCCATTCTTTCTGCGGTTTTACTTGAGTTGTAATGAATTTATAATTGTTTGTATTATTTGCGGTGATATAATTATCGAAGAAATATCTTTTACAGTTATTCTGAGCTGGTTTAATTAAAGACAACGATTCTCTTTTTCAATAATAATTCAAACGTAAATAGACAATGGATAAATCGTATTTGTTATAGCTTTTTTGAATATAACTTACATATACTTTATTTCGTAAGACGGAGTGTCCTATGGTTATGAATTAGGAAAGGAAAGTAAGATTTTAAGTGATTTAAATGACTTAAGTTGAAAGTACATACAAACATTATCACGATATTCGTGAAGATGTAGAGATAACGCTGGTGTCACGATATTCAAGTCCGTTAGCTTTTTGTTTAATTATTTCATAAAACTTTAAAAAGCTTTGCGTGCATTACAGTAATAAAGAATTCTAGAAAACACGCTTATATCATAGCCGTGAAACTAAGCTCAGTGTAGTTTAAAGCATATAAAACATATTTTAAAAGCAATTAGTTAAAAGACCGTTGTAAATTGAAAGAGTATTTGATTGAGAGCGAACTGCGAGATACAATTGATTCAAAATTAATTAATACTACAATAGAGGACTGAATATTTCGATTCTAGATTGAATTACTAAATAAACTACAAAGGATTCAATTGTCAGACATCGTATTGAATTTCAATGTATTCTATTAATTATTATAAAACGTATTGTTTTAAAATTACTAATTGGGAAATGAAAGTCAAATAACTAAACATCATTATGTTAGACTTAGACAGTAGACTTTGTCTTTTTAGTGTTTGTGTTGGTTATATGCTTAAGAAAGGAGAGGATTCAGATTTGACGGCTGATAGAGATGGAAGAGCAGCACATACTATGCCGACCCTCGATAAGGGCAAGTGGATAGTGATGATGTACAGATCTATAGACTATGTATTACTTGTTTCTTTCGTTGTTTTAAAAAATAAGTACAATATTCTATCGAAGAACAAATTTGGTTTTTACACAATACTTTAAATTGCATACGTATATAATGCATTCTGAAGATGATGGAATTAAATTATAATAATTAATATTTGACTTAATACCGTTGCTTTTACATCGACTTGCGTAACTTCCGTCGTAGCTACAACTCTGAACGTGAACACTCCGCTACTCATAGAAGTTGTGAGATGTAATTCACCATTGTCGTTAATTGTCAAGCTTTCTTCGAGTTCTGAAAATACAAGCTAGTAAACAAAGGCTCTTGTAATTTTAATCTACAAATGTGAACAGGTTTTATTGATTTTGTTCCAAGTTGTATTAAAAACTATATCTTTCAATATATGGGTACACAATCTCATATTGATTTAGCGAAATACCATATTGTATATAAATTTGCTATTCTTCTTTTAACTTTTAGGTAAGTACAAAAAAATTATGTTTTTATCGTAAACGTTAGTTAAACTGTAATCAAATTTCAACCTTATATTTAAAAGTGTTATATTGTGTTAAATGTTTGTATTGAACGCGGAAATATTTTATTAGTATTGAATCATGAGGCGTGTCATCCTCCCGGGTCAACTGTCGCTCATTATTTACCATACATATAAAAATAAATGTCAATGTTAACACCGATTATGCTAATTACATATAGATAACAACTAAATAAACGTCTAATATATTGTATTCAAAATTGCATGCATAATGTTTTATTCAAAATGTTGTTTCAGTAAAATACTGTTCCATGTGAATGATTAGACAATACAAATGTACCGTTATACAATTTTATACAGATAAAAGCATAACTTCAAAGGGTAACATTTTTCGAACCCGTTCTCAGTTAGAGCTGAAATCAAATTAAAGTTACGACGTAATGAAATAAAATTGTTTATTGCGCAATAAAAGGTCTGATACGCATGACTTGTCAGCATTTATTTTGTTGATGGAATCTTTGTATAAAACAGGCTCTACCCATTACATTAGTGAAATAACCGAAAATGTATATGGTACAATATACGTTAAAATGTATCACAGAAACATAACATTTTGTAAAGCGTTTCGCGTACTGCGAAAAGTAATATGTTGATTTTGTGCATGCGCAATTTTGCCATTAAGAAAATTCAGGCGCTTTTAATTATATTTCGGATATTTGCACTTTATTCGGTAAAGTAATAGTAGCCATGATAATTTATGATAATTTTTAAAACTGTCCCTACTTCTTGGTTATGTGTAGTTTTAGGTTAGGTTTTGGCTTCATGTAAGTTAGTATTTCATAAGTAAAATATGGTGTATGTATTTGTATTGCCGTTGAACAAACGATTTATATTTATATTTATAGACTTTATAATATACGAGTAGAAGACATTACCGTTGTCAATGGAGAGAGAGTAAGTAATGGATTCTCCATTATCCGCAGTCGCAGATACTTGTCCGATCAGTCCCGTCTGGGAAATGTCGACATTTATGACGTAAGACTCGGAGCTAAACCTCACTGTAGGCAGAGCTGGAATCCCTAAAGACAATATAAAGAGTAAATATTAAACCGACAATAAGACAAATATTCAAACAAAATTATTGTTAAATGCATTTAAAGGGCCGCTATCGTAAATTGCAACGCAATGAAGGATACTAACGATTGATATTCCACTTGACATTGATAATAAGATTGCGATAGCTTAAGTAGTGCATTAATCTTGAAAAAGTTGAATCATAGATATAAGTCGCATGCTTTCCTTTGATTAATTCAAATGATAATATTTAACAAGTTCAAATAATAAACACTCTACATATTGAGCTTATTGGATCATATTTTCCCTAATAAAGACGTACAGGTGTCTTATTCTCACTCAGATTTGCTAATACAAGTATCTTGATGTAAGCTATTGTAAGGGAAAACGTTTAACAAACATAAGTGTACAAGTTATAGACATACTAAACTTATAAATTGGAAACTTAGCTGTGTTACATTATGTAATTGGGTAAAAAAACAATCAATTTACAAATCTTACTAATATTATAAATGCGAAAGTTTAGATGGATGGATGGAAGAATGTTTGTTAGAGTTTACAGGTTAAACGGCTTAAGGGATCTCGATGAAATTTGGCAAAGACGAGATAGTCTGAAAGAACACATAGGCTTCTCACTTTAGCTTTTTTAATTTCACGCAGACGCAGTCGTGGGCAGAAGCTAGTAGATTATAAAAAATATTATCATCAAATTGTTTTTCTTTTAATTTACCTTGATTGATGACATCTAGTTGAAGCACACATCCCGCACCGGGCACACGAATTTCAAATATCAGGAAAGAACTGTTTACAGCTTCGATTGTATCCCTTAACGCAACAGTTACAGCTCCTTGATTTATTTGTACGACAAATAAATTTACGTGTTCTGCAAATTAAATATTTGTATGTTGATAACAAATCTTAAACTGGTCGTAGAATAGTAGAGCTAAAATAAATTACCAAAAAAGAAGCAAGAAGATCTAAAAATAATAAACAAAATTTAAGTAAAATAAGAAAAAACTTGGTAGATTTTTAGACTACTCTGTACCATTGACGAAATTAAATGAAATACATTTTTTCTTTGGCAAGTTTCAAGTATTACTTAATTTACATAAAAAAAACTTTAACAAAAATTCTTGACCTGAATATAAATCATAAATTAAGTCAAGTTCATCAATCACTACAGATAATAATAACAAAAACAGTATCAAAAACATTTTCACATTTATTTGGCAACAGTACGAATAAAGGTTGGGAAAACAAAATTAACGTTTCAATCGCAATAGTTTTATAAAATTCAGAAAAACACGATAGTCTAAACAGTATTATAGTACATTTTTAATTACCTCCAAGAATTTCGACATCAGCCCCGCTATATCCAGACACAAATATGTTTTCATGTGATATAATATTGTCTTGTACTACACCTCTGTACAATAACTTGTCGAAATAAATATTGCTATCTTCTGAAGCTGAAAAAACACTTAATTTACACATCACGCTATTTCAAAGATAAACTGATACATCTGTACCATTTTGTTTGACATCAAGAGCAAAACCACGCTTACGAGTATTAACACTAAATTTAGCTAGAGTTAAAAAAACATTTTTTTATTACTAAGACCTTTAAGGATATATTGAGTTGTCCATTATTATAAGTATCTCGTACTAAATAAAATGCGGATATCTCTCTTAGTAACCAATAAATATTTGAGCACGATAACAGTAAAAATATTTACCATTCGGTAGAGAAATTAAAATAGTCGATCTAGCGGTAACACTGTCCGGTTTGGAAGCAGTTACGATGAATACAAGAAACATATTCTCAGACTGTATATTTTGTGGTACGGGTGTAGACAGAATAACTAAAAATCCATCTTCGTTTCCTTCCAGTGAAAACCAAATTGAATTATCTGGAAATAAACAAAGTTCATTAGTAAAACACTTTAGTTTGTAACTAAATATATCAAAATTGAGTTAATATAACCTCCTTCCAATGTATATTCGATGCCATCACTGCTTTCATCAATAAGAGCAATAGTTTGGTTAAATTCAAGTACATCATTTTCTTTATACTGCCCGGTATAATACGCTTCTTTAAATTTTAACACATGAACAGGTAAATTATTCTGTCGTATAACTTCAAGGACAATTGTCGTGTAACTTGGTAATGCTTCTGGTGCTATAGCTTCTAGCTCTAAAATAATAACTCGATATCCAGATAAAATATCTTCAGGCATTGCATTCTCTAGTATAAGATACACCGTTGCTCCGTCCACTCTCTTTGTAAACAAAGTGGACAGTTCTAAAAAAAACGTCAAAAAACATTATTACGAGATGATAAGTGGAGTTTAGAATCTAGTAAAAATACTTACCACCGTTAAGTGAAAATTGCACGTCAGGCGTAAATCCAACTACAAGAATTATAGGTTCCAAATTAACAGTTGTATTATCAACAGTTCCCAAATAATTGTTTCTCTCAAAACCGAGTATTTGTGTGGTATTTTCTTCTGAAATTAAATCATAATTTCTTTAACATACTTTAGAAACATCTCTTAAACGGGATAAATTAGACAAATTTTACCTACCAGCTGTAATGGTAATAATTATGGCAGATCTAGCAGTAACTGAACTGCTAGGTTTTCCGGCAGATATTTCAAAGATTAGTTGCCGATTGTTATGTAATACATCATTAGGTATAGTACTCGTTAAATTTATAGTTACTCCATCCTCGGTTGGTACAACTCCAAACCATACAGATTTCTCTAAAATTATAAGAAATGTTATTAATATCTGTATATCGTCTAGATATGAAATGAAATACCTTATTCTGGTACATACCTCCAACAAGAGTGAAGTGGACAGTTTCATCGTTACCTTGTGCTAACGTTATAACATGATTAAACTCAAGACCATCGCTCACGTCGTACGTTCCAATGTAATAGGGTTCGGAAAATTTAAGTAAATCATTATTAGAGGGAATTTCTTGCCTCACTACTTCAATAACTATTGTGACGTAAGCAGGTATAGCTTGTGGTGCTGTTGCCACCAATTCTAATACGATTATTCTATTATCAGGAACTATATTATCAGGAATGGTGTCTTCTAATTGTATTATAATTGTTGATTCGTTTGGTGTGATATAAAAATACGACGCCAACTCTGTAAAAACAAGAATAGATTATAGTATCTAAATATCTTATTACATTTTGATAATTTAAAAATTGAGAATTTGTTTAATATGTAGTGTATTACAAAAAAGGTTCATTTTTAAATACTCACCCCCATTGAGTGAAAATTGCACATCAGGCGTAAATCCAACTACAAGAAGTATAGGTTCCAAATTGACAGTTGTATTATCAATAGTCCCCAAATAATTGTTTCTCTCGAAACCGAGAATTTGTGTGGTGTTTTCTTCTGAAATTAAATAAAAATTTCTTTAACATACTTTAGAAACATCTCTTAAACGGGATAAATTACACAAAGTTTTACCTACCAGCTGTAATGGTAATAATTATTGCAGATCTAGCAGTAACTGAACTGCTATGTTTTCCGGCAGATATTTCAAAGATTAGTTGCCGATTGTTATGTAATACATCATTAGGTATAGTACTCGTTAAATTTATAGTTACTCCATCCTCGGTTGGTACAACTCCAAACCATACAGATTTCTCTAAAATTATAAGAAATGTTATCAATATCTGTATATCGTCTAGATATGAAATGAAATACCTTATTCTGGTACATACCTCCAACAAGAGTGAAGTGGACAGTTTCATCGTTACCTTGTGCTAACGTTATAACATGATTAAACTCAAGACCATCGCTCACGTCGTACGTTCCAATGTAATAGGGTTCGGAAAATTTAAGTAAATCATTATTAGAGGGAATTTCTTGCCTTACTACTTCAATAACTATTGTGACGTAAGCAGGTATAGCTTGTGGGGCAGTTGCCACCAATTCTAGTATGATTATTCTATTATCAGAAACTACATTATCAGGAATGGTGTCCTCTAATTGTATTGTAATTGTTGACTCGTTTAGTATTATATAAAAATAGGACGTCAACTCTGTAAAAACAGGAATGGATTATAGCACCTAAATATCTGATAACATTTTGATAGTTTGAAAATTGAGAAGTTGTATGATGTAAAGTGTATTAAAAAATAGGTTAATATTTAAAAACATACCTCCCTGGAGTGTAAACACAACATCTGAAGAAAGTCCTTGCACCAATAAAATTGGATCCAAAATAAGTGTATTGTTGTCAATGGTACCAATATAATTTGGTTTATCAAACTCTAAGACAACTATCTCATTAACATCTGAAAATCAATACATTAATAGGTTAAAAACAAATTTAACTACATGTTTTGACTTAAAATGTATTAAAAAGACGATTCTTACCTTTTATTAGTCCTATAATAATTGTAGATCGCGCAGAAACCGTGGTGTTAAATACATTTGCGGTGACAGTAAATATTAACTGATGATTATCTGCCAATATTTCTGATGGTATTAGGCTTTGAAGTGTTAAAATAACTCCATTGTCCAATGGCGTAAGTGAAAACCATACGGAATTATCTAAAACAATCAAAAATTTTAATGTTTCTAATAGATATTGATTCCGATATACGAAATATAAGATATAATTATTTTTTTGGAATTCATACCTCCTTCTAGTTCGAAACTAACATTTTCTTCAGACTCTTCTCTGAGTTGAATGGTTTGATTGAATTGTAATTTATCTTCAACAGAATATTCTCCGTAATAATAAGGGCGTTCAAACACTGGAGGTATTATATTTGGTTCTAATTGTCTAATAATTTCTATTACTATTGTAGCGTGGGCCTTTATTGTCCTTGGATGGATTGCTTCGATCTCTAATATCATAAAATGATTTTCAATAATCTCTTCAGGTAATTGTTCGTTTAGTTGAATCGTTACAATGTTTCCAACGTTACTCATGCTAAATAAAGATGCATGATCTATAAAACAAAAGATATAATTAATAATAACATTCAATTGTTTACTCACGATAAAAAAAGTCAAAATTATACAAAAAAAATTACCACCAATTAATAAAAACTCTGTTTGAAGTTGAAATCCTTGATCCAATACGATACTTTCAATCGTAAACGTTTCATTCATAATAATTCCAGTGTAACTGTTTTTAGAAAACCTCATCACAGTTGGTTCGGTTAATTCTGTAAAAAAAATAACCAAGAGATTAATTAAGTAAGCGAAAAAGCACAATAAGAAAAAATATAAACATACCTGAAGGAAAATTAACTGATATTACGGCGTTAGCGCCTACTGAAAAAGGCTTATCTGCTAAAATAGTAAATAGTAAAACTTTTTTGTTGAAAATTAATTCTTCCGGTATTGTGGTATCTAAAGTTAAAGAAATATTGTTGTTGTCAGTATTCGAAATAGCAAAATATTGTGCATTTTCTGAAAGAAAAAAAAAATACACACAGACATAAATAATATTGTTTAGGAAATTAAATGCTCATCCTAGATTTTTTTGTTTATAAAATAATTTGTTACCTCCTATTAAACGAAATGTAACATCTTCATCGAAACCTTGTGTTAGGTAAATATTTTCTATGCTTATTACCGCATCCAAGTAATAACCATTGTAAATGTTTTTACTAAACAGTGGTGTTGATGTATCTTGTTTTATAATTTCCAGTATGACAGTTGTTATTGCTTTGTCAGTACCATTACCTTCTGCGGTTAGGGTAAATATAAGAATATTGTTTTCAGAAATTACACCTTCAGGGATTGGATCTCTTACACTTAAAGTTATTTGGTTTCCATCATTAGATTGAATAAAGTAACTCGCGTACACTGAAATTAGAAATTATCCTTAACTAATCTTGAATAGCGCTCCCACACTATTGACTAAACTATCGTACAACTGTTTAGTCGTGCTTTGATTCCTATGAGCTTATATAAGGTGTGCACGCTACTTGATTTTTGTTGTGCAACTAAACAGTTGAATTGGCCGCAAAACAATTAACAATCGCACTACAGTTGTGCGATTGGTTAGTCAAAGGTGTGGGACCGCTCTAATTTTGCACCAAATCAATTATTGTTCTACTTGGAAAACTATAGGTGAATTTCTACAAATTTAATTTACCTCCAGAAAGATCGAAGACGACATCTTCATCGTAGCCGATGTTTAACTCTATTGTCTCCAGTAAAACACTGTTATTTACCAAAATTCCGCTGTAAGTAAGAGATTTAAAAGCCAGTGCTCTAGCTGCAATCAAAAGTTTCAGAAAACATGGCAAAATGTGTTATTATTTGTTATAAGTTATTTGGAAAATCTAAATTTTTATATTGAAAATTAAAATATTTTTATAAACATCAAGTAACAAACGTTAAACGTGAAAAACACGTTGGAAATGTGGTTTCCGTTCCATTTCATGTCGTTTAACTTTGCGTAGTGCATTTAGAAAAGTCAATAAATATATCGAAACGTTTCTGTCACCTTCAGGCATTGCGATATAAAGAACCGCCTGCGCTCCTACTGTTCTTGGCTTCGTGGCAATTATAGTGAGTAGCAAACGTTGTTCGTTTAAAACATGAGAGGGCAAGCCTGTCGTGATAATGTTAAATACGTTGCCATCTTGTGTTATTCGGAAATAACTTTCGAAATCTGCAATAAAATGAAATAAATGCTTCATAATTTCATTTACCTTAGGCCTTGGCCACACCTAATTAGGCCATAAAGCAGCTCAAGATTAGAAGAAAATAGTGTTGTTTTATCTCAAAGCACTTTATTAAAGCTGCAAATATAATATTTATGGTACATTCGAAGTTTGAAATAACTAACTTACCTCCTTCCAGAGACATAGTGACCGTGTCATCAAAACCTTGAATAAATGTAATATTTTCTACAATCACACCTACAATAGGATCGTATGTAGCGTTATAGATGTTTTTTTCGAATATTGGCGTAATAAGGTCATCTTTGACAATTTCCAAAACTACCACAGTTGCTGCTGTTCTGTTGTTAGCAATAGCAACTACTTGTAATGTCAATATGCTATTATTTTGTATAATTTCTTCACTAAGTTGATCCATACTCAATATTACATTATTATTTTGAATGCTAGTACTAAAATATTGACTAAATTCTGAAAAGTAATTTTAGTTAGTTTAGATTTTTTTATCTGCAATATAAATTTTTGCAGATTATTAAAAAATAGCAAAAAGCATCATTACCGCTGTAGACATTTATTTCAATTTCTGGGTACTCTGAATTTTCTTGTAAAATCAAATTCGAAATACTCAAACTATTATCCACAATAAAACCTCTATAGTAAGCCTCTTCAAACTTAAAGTTTGGCCCTGAAATTAATAACAAATATTATTATCCCGAGTACTAGAGTAAGTAAATTACTTATAAGTATAAAATATACAGTAAATTCAAACCTTCAGGTAAATTAACTATGATTGTTGCAGTTGCACCACTCGTATGTTCGCGGCTGGCTTTCAGAATAAGGTAAATTTGATTTGTTACTAAATCTGAAGGTAGTTGTGAATGAACTCTTAACGTGATTCGATTTTCATTGACATAAATGTCGAAGACATCTTTATTATCTATAGAAAAAAAAACCGTTATAGCATAACATATCTTAAATGATTATTTAATTCAGAAATGAAATATTAATTGTACCTCCGTCTAGACTGAAATTTACACTTGCATCATAACCTTGTTGAAGATATATGTCGCTTTCCAGAATAATATTTCCCTCTACGGTATAAGTAGCTATATAAAAAGTTTGTGAAAATATGAGATCATCAGGAAATTCAAATTCCGTGTCAGCCTCAATACGTACTGTTGCGTTGCTCGTGATCGGAGGATCACCGGTAAGATCAACATCCTAGTTGAAAGTGATAAAAAGTTAGTTTTAGGTCATACACATTTTTTATTTTGATGAATAATAATTCAATGTTTACCGTTGCTCTTATCCATAAAATAATCGGTTCTGAAATTCTTCTTATAAATGTAGTAGTTCGTAAAGTAGCTTTAAATTCTTTAGGTGTTGTTGATGTGTCGGCAACGATTTCGAAAAATGGGTTTTCTTCAATTTCAAAATCAATTCTTTGAGTTGTCAGATCGATATCCCTTACGATTAAATTGTTGACGCAATCAGTAACCAGAAAGCCAGGCGGCAGCGGCGGTGCAACTTTGTAAATATAGTTATCGCTTGGCCTGAACTGCGGTGCATTGTTATTTGTATCTATTATATTTATAATGAAAACCTGTAAATGTACTTTCAAGTTACAATACAACGACTTTCTTTCTTTCATTTCATGGATTACTATTCATGATGACAAAACACTTAGAAAATGTATCACATAGAAATGGACTAGTAACTCACTAATGTATTACTGGAACCACCAGTACATCTAAAATTAACAGTAACTCCTATAGAGAGTTCCGTCTCGTTTTCTTCATAGTTTTCAAACTGAGTATTCGGAGCGATTGTGAATTCGGAGTTACTGTATGAAACGGTTAAATACGGACCTCCATTTAAACCTTCGCTGTTCGTTACGGAATTTATACCTGGTGATATAAAGTAATTTAATATTTTACATTTGGATTCATTGAAATAAATCACAGATGTATATAATTTTTTAACCTTCTATATTAGATGTAGATCTTCGAAAGAATATATCTCTTTCGATATCGTAGATGTTTGCGCTAACCGGTAATAACCAGTTATTGATGTTCTCCATAGAACAGGCTGTAAACAAATATAAGATTGCGTTCGTACTTTTCTTTAGAAAGTATACACAAGATTAGGACCATATCTATAGAACTATAAATGTTTAAGGATTAAGAGAATCCTTAATTGGATTGGAGATCTTTGATGTCATACATTTTCTACTTACTTCTTAACACAAAGTGCAGCTTAAAAATAATGTCATAAATTGTCGTATTCAAGGAGACATAACCCTTATGTTTCTAATTATTTTTTAGTTTATATATTTGTTTAAACTATTAAATCTATATTAAAAGTCTGAAAGTGCGATCCTTCCAAACAGTGCATTAAAATCTGTGAATTCAGTGAAGCGTGCTCTTATTTGATATCACAATCTTGTCATGTTGCACAATTTCAACGCAATCTCAACCAACTATGTAGATAACTTTGTTAGGAATTTGAATTGAATTTAAAGTAAGAAATTTTGGTCAAAAACTTCAAACAACAATCTCTGTGTAAATGGCGAAAAAAAAAATCAGTTTGACTACAAATTTTATAGTAATACATCTCCTAAGATTGAATTCAATGTCTGCAATAAATAAAATAAGGATTCCTAATCGTTTTCTTATTGCTTAAAAGTATGTGCTACTTACCATAGCTGCTATTCAATTTCAAGAGAACGAAACAGAAAATAATAAAAACCGTATGCATTTTGGAATCATTAATCCGTTTATCACATTCCTTATAAATAAGAAACACTTTTATTGCTTTCACTACTAGATATTTAAATATAAAATTGTTTTGCACTTGATTTTCAGTAAGATAATTTTCACAATGTTGTTGCACTATGAACTCGCGCGTGTTAATTTTTGTTTTTAAAATAACTTTAATTGAAGACCGTCAGTTTGTATTGAGACATATAAAACTGAAATACGTCGTATGCGTTGATAAAACTATATTTAGATAATGACTGTCAATGTCTATAATGTTAATCTATCGATTCATATCTTTGCGGAGAAATAACATTGATAATTCATTATCAAAGCGATAATTAAACAATGATGACGATAATGGGGTATTTGAAATTTAAATATTTGTAACAGTTCATCATCATCATCATCATCATCCTCCTCCTCCTCCTCCTCCTCCTCCACCTTATCCTACTCCCGTGGGGTCGGTGCGTCAGGTTTGTCTTCCAAATAACTCTATCTTACGTCATCTCATTCATTACTCCCTTTTTGATCATGTCACCTTTCACGCAATCCATCTATATCTATACTAATATTATAAAGAGGAAAGATTTGTATTTTTATATTTTTGTATGTATTGAAATAACTCAATAACTACTGAGTCGATTTTGAAAATTCTTTCACCGTTAGATATGTAATTTATCTGTAAGTAACATAGGCTATATTTTTTAATGTCACGTGGGCAAAGTCGCGAACAACAGCTAGTGTTTCCAGGTATTTGTAACATTTATCCTGTAAAATTGTAGATCATATTCATAGGGAAAAATTAATACAGGAAAGTTATAGACACTGTTTAAATATCGAGCAATTAAAAAGACTCAAGTTGTTTTGGGCAAAATGATTGATCCCTGCAAAGGAAATTAATTTTACATCTGGATTATTTTGAAACTCTCGAAGTTAAATTCTTACAGCCTTACAAATAAACGCGGTATTAAGTTAAACTCAAGAATAAACTGAGAATAAGTAAATATTACTACAAATTTTGCTTATACTCAGTTTATTCCTAAGTATCTAAATATTTTAATTTTCAATGATTTTAGTTTACAATTTGCTTACAGCTGAGTCAAGTGAAATTAAGTTAATTCTAAGTTTACTGTGTATATGCGAAAATTTTTCAGCGCCTTTTATTTTAATTTAGCAAGATTAATATTAATTGCATGGAAAAGCCATAATGTTACTGAAGTAGTTAAAAAATGTAAATGTAAATAATTATAACTTGTAAGGCAGAATACTGCCTTAGATATGGGCAGAAATTATACTTCTTATGACTTCGTATGCTTTTACTGTTGACATCTAGTAAATATAACTAGATAAAGTAACCTATATGAATTTAATTATCTGGAATAACTTAGTTCCAAAAAATATTGAGCCAAAGTTAATACTTATTAAACAAATAACTTCGGAGAAATCAATCTCTAATGTAAAAGCAACTTAGTAGAAAAGTTTTACTGTTTTATGTTTATTTAATATTGTTGTTAAAAGTAAAAGATCAAAGAGGGGTAGAAAAATTGCTCCTATTAAAAATAAAATTAAAAACATATACTTACTTTTTTTAATATATTTAATACCTTTGTTGGAAATTACGTGAAAGAATTTTGTGAAATAACGTTGACTTACTAATTAAGGGTATTAATTAAAAATAATTAAGAAACTTCCTTTTCATGTTCCCTAATTAAAACATCGCTGTTTTCAAGCGTAGAGAAAAGTTTTCTAGTTGGTGATTTATTTGATGTTTTATTAGAAAAAAACCTGTGACACATTTTTTTAGTTTTTTTACTTCACATTTAAATTTTCCCTATTCACTTATTTAGTGGTTTTCTTAAAAGGATTATTTGAGTATTAAAATCCTGATGCTGTTAAAACAGAAGAATTAAATTCACAATAGAAACATAAACTAACATTCAACTTTGTTCTTTCACTTAAACACCGAATAAATAGTTCAAAAACTCAAAATATACAGAACAATAAATTACATTAAACTCGCAATTTGCATAAACAAATATTCGAAGTTCAATTTAAATTGCTTCCCATTGATCTTCAGGTATATCATGGGCATCTTCAATACTGCCTTGCGGTTTTCTATTGACGGTAACATTAAGAGCTAAGAGCTGTTGCATCGGTAGACGCGGTGACAAGTTCACCATGCTCGCCCACTGCCCTGAACACAGTTCAGGAAACTTCAACTTCTTTAAGAAGTGACCTTCCAGGTACCAAGGCGATATACAAGTCGGTGAGTAGTCCCAAATCTTCATTTCATTCAAACGAACCCAACTAGAATGAAAGAAGTTTTAATTTAATTAAAACTATTTTGACAACGAAAACAATCATAAAGCATGTTTACAAATCTAAAGTTTGTGTCCATTGTTCTCATCTGACTTTAGTTAGTTACTTGGAAATCATTTTTTTTACTTCATTGTAACTAAAAAATTACTTTTGATGTAAGAACATAAGCACATTATGTATTTTAAAAACGTGTTGCACAAAAAGCATTTTGTTTTTGACTCACGCTGAAATATAGAGGGCGTGACAGTCGCAATGCCAAGGGTTATTTGATAACTTTACATTTTCCAACTTCGGCATGTAGTCGAGAGTACGCGACGGCAGCGACGGGAACATATTATTGTCTATATATCTGTGAAATGAAACAGATTGAAGAATTTCTTTTTTGAAATTTGTATTTCAGAATACAATGTTCTATGTTTATAACAGGAAGCAAATCAAATATACCCAGCACTGTCAATTTATTAAGAACCGTTTGTAAGATTCTTGTCGAATCGTTTTTTGTATTTCTATTACAATCATACTTCATACTTATACTAATATTATAAATGCGAATGTTTAGATGGATGGATGAATGTTTGTTAGAGAGAGTTTGTAGCCTAAACGGCTTAACAGATTGTGATGAAATTTGATATAGATTTAGAGGATAGTCTGGAAGAACACATAGGGTATTCATATATCTTTTAGTTCCGCACGGACGAAGTCGCCAGGCGCAAGCTTGCATGATAAAGTAATCTAACTACTGCACTCATAGACGTGAAGCTGTAGCTCCTAACGAAGAAGTAGATTGAGAAAGCAACACTAAGCGTCTCTCTTATTGACAAATTACTATCTGTGAGTGCGGTATAAAATCTTTTTATTAGACTTACAATGTTGTTAAATTCTTCAATGTTGAAAATGTCATAAAATGAACTTCATACAGTTGATTTTCAGACAACACAAGTGAAACAAGTTTATCCAATCCGCGGAACGTAGACTCGTTGAGATATCGCAATTTGTTCTTTGATATATCTAGTGTTTCCAAATTAGTACAATTTGCGAACGTGTTGTTAGGAATTTGCGTCAAGAAGTTCTCTTTCAAGTCAAGATGACGTAGCAAAAGAAGATTTTGAAATTCCAAACCTGTAAACTAATATTGGAAATATTTAAATGAAAAGCAGAAGTTCAATACAGAAATATTCTTAGAAATATACTTACAGTAATAAGATTATTATTGGATAAATCCAGGAACGTCAAACAGTGAAGGTTATGAAATAACTTCGGCGGTATTTTCTTCAATTTATTTTTGAATAGAAGCAAAGTTTCTAGGGAGAGGAGATTCTTAAAAGCATTATCAGTGATGTTACTTATTTTATTTTCTGACAGTTTTAATACTTGTAATTTTTTCAAAGGAAAGGTACCGTTTTCAATTCGCAATATTTTATTCCTTGATAGGTCTAATGTGAGAATGGAGTCCAAACCGATAAAAGTGTCGGATGGTATGTACACAATTTGATTGTTAGATATATCTAAGGTTTCCAGAAAAGAGTTATTACTGAAGAGACGTTCAGGTAATGTATGTAATAAATTATTTGACAAGTCAACATGGAAAAGTTTTTTTGCCCAGCGGAATGTTTCGCTGTCGATTTCTTCTAGATAATTCCTCTGCAAACGTCTGAAACATACACTCTTAGTTTTATTTACGTTACGAGGATTGTTAATTTCATATTATTTTTGTTTAAATTCACTTACAATATCCTCAAATTAATAAGCGAATCAAATATAGTAGCAGGTAAATATTCCAAATGGTTGTCAAACATATCCAATTCAGTAACCGATCTCATCTCCTTAAACGTTGTTTTGTGAAGAGTACGGAGTTTGTTAGTGCCCAAATCACTGGAAATATAAAAATAAATTAAAAGCAATGCAAGCATTATGTTTACTCAATTGTTGCGACAATATATGCACTTATAAAATTTAAACACTTGGGAACAATCGCAATTGCGGATGTTTATGGGCAGTGGCCGTATTGCCATTTCGACTGGTCCAGGTGGCCGCTTGTTCATTACCTACCTTATAATATAAAAAAATAAACATATCGATTTCAGTGACAGAGTTTCAACTGGAAAGGAACATCATAAAGCACTAATTAAACCTCTAAAGTCTATAACTATATTTTCCTCTTTCTCAGAAAAAATTAAAATTAAAAATTTAAATTCGAAATTTGATTTTCAAATACACAAGACTTGTTTGTATAAAGAAGTTATAAGAGACTAAAGCTGAATGCTTTTTGTAGTGATATTCGAAACACAAAATTCATAAAATGCAGACTAAAAATATTGTGATTAAAATTCTGCGCTCGAATGTAAAAAGATAAAGTGGCATACGGGTTTATAAAGATTAATTAGAAGCAGAATCTCGTACTTTTGAAAATAATTAACGAATCGAGAGCAAGCCACTGAATATGTATAACATTCAATATTTATTTGCGATAAGGAGTTGTTTATGTACATAGAGACTTGTGGGCTAGTACATGAAAGATTGCGTTTCCTTAGTTACCAGATAGTACCTTTCCTGTCCATTCGCAATTTATGTGACAAATAAACTCACTAAATTCTTAATTTAATTTACAGACTTGGCTACGTTACTAGGACTTTTCTACGATTAATAGCAAAGCGATTTTAAACTTATTAACATAAACTGTCAAGTTACTGTTAACGTGACAAATGACGTCACACTTGTATAATCACTATTGCTATCTCTATTTTTATCAAAAAATAAAAATAAGAATGGGGTAACTGTACATACAACGTTAAGTCTGTTGTTGTTGAGTTAGGTCAGTTAATGTTTTGTTACGTTAGTTAACGCTGAAATCAGCATAGCGTAAACTATACGTACATGGTATGCAGGTCAGCAGGTACAATGATGTCAGGTGTGAGAGTAACGAGACCAGCTCTCCAACAGTTGAGAGAGCGATGCACGGCGTCACATCGGCACGCACTTTTGGCACACTGGCGCCAGCGAGACTGTCCCGTACTTACGGTCCACGCTGATCATTTAAAAAGAATGATGTTATGGTATTTATAATGATTTTATCATAGTCATTATGATACTAATTCTAGAAACTTATGGAAGTAGAGTTCTTTACAATTTCATTATAATAAAGGTATAAAAGAAAATATAATGTTTTCATTTATGTATCTAACTTTTTTCATACTTTTTTTAAGTGATGATCGTCGATGTAGTTATTTAATATTTAAATCTTACCGCTATCTGACTGTAAAAGAATAACATTTCCTTACCAGGTTGTTCAATGGCTCGCAATCGTCGATCTAACTGCCTCCAGTGTATATCCTCGGCGCATACACCGCTATTCCTTTGTTCTCCGCGGCGTCCAACTGTAAACATCTCCAATACTTCGCACGGATTCAAATTGCATTCCGCTTTCATGCCTTGGGCTGAAACTATTTTTAAAACGAAATTGCAGTTACAAAGAGGTTCTCTGTGGTAAAAGTAAAAAGTTAATGTGATACTACAGTATGTATTTATATATGCTTTTTAATATACTTTTTTGTGTGACTAACTTAACTCATCGGTAAAGCTTAACACAGCATATACGTATAAAATATTGGATGGACATGATAAACAGACATTCAGTCATGAGATCACTAGTAATTTTATATATAATATTTTTTTTTTTTTTTTTTTTTTTTTTTTNNGACTTCCTTATCGTCAGAGACTTTGTCGTTCCGTTTATTTCTTTACGTTTTACAATTTATATTACATTTTCTTAAGTTTAAATTACATTTAGTTTCCTACGTAATTGGTGACCTTGATTCTAGTTGCGGTGGCGCTTCACTCTTTGTATGAGAACATACACACAAGGAAGCGCCTTTACGTTTTTGTTTGTGTAAGTTATGCCGAAATTCCTCTCTAATATTCAATGTCACCATTTACGTTTTGTTGCTTTTGATTACTTTACTAATTACATGTTTGCCAAATTCCAAAAATTTATCTCTAATTCTATTGTCTTTAATTATTGTACATATTGTTTCTTTGTTTATGTTAGTCTCTATTTCAATTTCTAATTCTTTCCTTTTTTTCAGGTATATGGGACACTCCGCGACTACGTGCAAGATGTTTTGGCTAGTTTCACCATCGCAGGGACACGTCGGATTTTCTCTGCACTTGAAGCGGTGCAGGTACTCCGCCACTCCACCATGCCCGGTAAGTAACTGCGTGTTTATTGCGCTCATTTCTATTTTTCTAACTATTCTGTAGGCTTCCGCCGCGTCCGGGAAGAACAATTTTGTGCTGGAGGCCGTTGTCTCTGTTTTATATCTCCGGTTCCATTCGTCAACGGTGTCCTCTCGGAGCTGCCTTTTGACGAATGAAACCGGGCATCTGTCATAGTCTGCCCTTCTTTTAATTTTTAGAGCGGCCTCTTTGGCCAGGGCATCCGCCCTTTCGTTGCCAAGTACTCCTACATGGGCCTTAACCCAATACAGATCCAGCGTTTTGCCTCCTGCCTTGATTGTTTTGATGTTCCTCTTGATTTCTTCCGCTAGGGGGTGGGTAGCTTCTACGTCCATGATGGTTTGCAGGGCCGATCTATATATAATATTAGCTATGAAAACATAGCTTATGTTACAGATAAATTACTCTAACTTCTAACTTCTAACGGTGAAAGAATTTTTAAAATCGGCCCAGTAGTTTTTAAGTTATTTCAATACATACAATCTTTCCTTTTTATAGTTTTAGTATAGATTCAAGCTTACAATAAAAATAATGAATTCAAACTATAAACTACTAGAATGTGTGCTTTCATGAATTAATGTAGAATTAATGGGTTAACACAAGAATATAAATTTAGCTAAATATGATTTAATTATTACTACGGAATGTTTTATAAACGTGATTAATAGACACAAAACTACAAGAATAATGATATCAAAAATAAAAATTACCTCCATATATCATTATTTGTATGGTCAAATATATTTGTAGGAGGTTCATGTTGCTTGTCAATGATGAGCGCAGAGTGAGGTGGACAATGAATGCCTGTCCGCATTTGTGTTACGTTCCACACATGAATGGTATGCGACAACACGTAGTAATCTAAACGAAGATATTTTTTAACCTTTCTCTACTGATATAGGTAGACAGAGACAAATTTTACTGATATTAGATTTTACGTGACAAGGGTGAGCCCGCCGTACCGCATATTCATTACTTTAATTGCTCCCTAAGATTAGAATTCCATTAATTTACAGAGATATCATCTAATATGAGAACAATCTCCTACAAACGAGTAAAAACTTTTATTGCTAACTGGCTTACACCCGCGACTCCGTCTGCGTGGAATTAAAAAAAAATAAAAGTGAGTAGCCTATGTGTTTTCCCAGACTATCCTGTACATCTATACCAAATTTAATCAAAATCCGTTTAGAGGTTTAGGCTACAAAGTCTAACAAACATTCATCTAAACTTTCGCATTTACAATATTATTTTGAAATACAATTAGTCTGATAATACATATATACTAATGTCAGTATAAAAATAATACAGTACCCTTTTTCTAGGTTTGTTATAAACTAAAATACATGAAGTCGCAAAGTCGATAGTGTTTATACGATAGCAAACTCATCAATATTCATAATGTTTCAATGTTGTTGAATGCCGTCAGGGATTTCGCTAGTGATACGTAATTAACCAGTTAACTGAATTGATTGCGTCCGTCCAGGCGTGGGGTCAAACAATTGTCTTAATAATAGGTGTGCTATTACTTTGATTAGATTATCAATGTTAAATCAAATTACTACATGAATAATTACTAATTGTCTCAGACCTGGTACGCCTTTTGTAGTGCTCTTCAAACCAGTGATGGTGTTTATCAGTGGTAGAGCCCGTTTTAACATCTTTGCACGAATGGGCCGGCTCGCCCGGTGTAATACCACGACCACACAGAAAACAGGCGTGAAGTGGGAGCAATTCCGCGTTTCGTCTGATGAGTGTGGTGCCGGAGGCCTAATTTTGGTCCCTTTTCCTTTCCACCCTTTTCTTAAGAGGGACGGATGGGAAGGAAAAGTGGATTTGACGGTGGAGGAGACGCATAGGAAGAGGAAATATCCTCTTTATTTGCGTCTCCTTCCACCATCGATTAAGGGTAGGCAACGCATCTGCAATTGCGGATGTCAATGGGCAGCGGTCGCTACGCCATTTTGGCGGTTTCAAGTGGCCGCTTGCTCGTTTGCCACCTTATAATATAAAAAAAAAACCTAGTCACAAGAGTTTATCGTGAAAGCAAAACTTTTTAGGAAAATTTCAATCAATTCTTTCCACTGGTAAGTTAAATTGATACACAATCAAACTTCGTAGAGGGTCTACGGAGCAAACATTGATCTAAGTTATTTTTATTTACGTGGGACATTGCGTTTACTACACGAGTTGAAGATTTGAGTGATTTAATGGTATAATAATAATGATTTTCAAATTACTTAATTGATTTTCGTTATTGGCTAGAATTTCTAAAAAATATTTAAAAGTGTAAGCAATGGATGTCAAAAGCTTGCAATCAAAGTCACAAAGTAAAGTGCTTTGTGAAGGATAAATATACAAAAGAAATAAACTGTTTGTTTTGTATGTTTTTCTTTTTCTATAAAACCAAGCTGACGCAGTGATCGAGCGTTGTATCGCATCCACGAGGGACTTTGTAAATATAGACTTCACGGTCACAAAAAAATCCCACACATTTTAAATAAACATTTAAAAGACTACAGAAATATTTACATTCTCACTAGCTTTCGCCCGTGACTTCGTCCGCGTGGAATTGAAAAAAATCAAGTATTCTAGGTGTTATTCCAGACCATACTCTACATCTAAGCCAAATTTCATCGAGATCCGTTCAACCGTTTAGGCTACAAACTCTAACAAACATCCATCCATCCAGCTAAACTTTCGCATTTATTATATAAGTAAGAAGTAAGATTATTTATTAAATACTCACTAATGGACAATCAATTAAAATGAAATTTTATTTTATTTAACAATTTAGATTTAACATCAATACGAGTATGCAATCTAAAATTCTATTGGAAATTGGTAGAAACATTCAAATCAAGCCTGTTGGATTACAAAAAAAATAGTAATTCACTCCACGACTGTCAATAAAATAAGGCACACTACAAAACTGTTTTCAAAAAAAAATATTTACCCCACTCGAGTAATATTTCTTGCGGTTAAAGTTCTTAACCACCAAAATTCATCTTAGTCTACGACAACTCGTAGAGCCTCGTAGACGGTGTGACTACGCCGCAGATCTGGTCAGACCAAGACATTGGACCACACGTCTGATTAAAGCAAATCGCACATCTTTCCATCCTAACCACGACTCTACTCAACAGAAACATTATTACCAATATCCTATTGCCTACTAGAAGCTAATTTTTACATCGAAACCAATATTTTTTTACTTAAAAATGAAATTTAAACACATGCTGTAAATTTTTAAATTATCGCTTGAAAAGACTAGTTATATGTCACTTGAAGTCATGGATAAAGTTTCAACGGACGCCTAACGAGCGTTGGGAATAATCGTAGCCATTACCAATTACTCAGCCGCATCTCGAACAATGAAGTTAAATATATCTTTTGTCTTGGAAGATTTAATTAATACAAAGGGAAGGAAACCGGAAAAAGATGGCTTTTACTTCCTATTTCCTAATCCTAATATATAATAGTGAAGTTACAGTTACACAAGTTACAGTTTTATCCAACAAAAGATTTTCATTTTGTTTAATCCAAGATAAAAATGTAATTACTGTTTCACTATGATCGATTTTATCTAATTCAGTGAACACCATTTACCATCCTACGTAGTTTCATGTTTGCATTGATATACAGTTGATAATTGCTTCTATGGAGCGACAAAAATAACCTCCGTGGTGTGTAAATGCGAGGGTGGGTGCAGCCGGCAAGCGGCAGCCGCGACGGGCACTCGTCTCTCACCCAGCGGCGCGGTACATCGTGTTCATTCCCGTACACTAACTTTCGATCTAGTCACGCGTACGGTGAACAAACATCGGTTACAATTTAAATCTATTTGCAATGGTAAAACAACGCTTGTACACATGCCACTGATAAAACCAAGGCATCCGTGCATACAGACAATATGAAACGTGTTTAGTGATATTTCTATTACGCTTAAATAATTTTTAATTCAAATTAATGTTTTTTAACTTTTTAATAGTACGTAAACATTGTAAATAAACAAACAAATATTGTAGATTTAGAAGCATAGTATACCCGGAAAAAAAGGACCTGTTTCCAAAGTGAATAAAGTTTGTTAAAGTAATTTCTGTTTAATGTGACAAGGTTGAAAAATCAGTAAGTGCGCAATGTCAACTTTGGTAGCTGGTACGAGCGTGCTAATCGGTCCGCAAACACGCTGGAAGGTGGAAGAAGTGAACAATTGTGTGCCGTGAACATTAACGCGGACAGAGAACGTATTTATGAAGAACAAAGAACAACTGCTTCTGTCAACCATTTTATTCATCACATCGAATCAGGAGTTGAACATGATGGAGACGAGGCAAGTAACCTAGTTATTTAGTCTATATTTGAAGGTTATTTTTCCGTTACTCCTTATCTACTAGTAGCTCGTATTTGCTTGTAGCGGTAATACAATTTTAAAACTTCCTAACTAGTATACAAGTAACGTATAACTCACGTACTATTTAACATGTCAATTACTTATAAACGAGTCGAGCGTGGCTCGAGGTGTAAATTGAGCACACGGTTTGAATCTGTATATAAATTGAGTCTGTGTTATTTGATTAGTAATTACCGTTTCGTTTGTTTGCCGGTCCATTATACCAATAAGCTAACTCACATGTTTTCCGACCGCTTACCCTTATCTCTTGTTGTTAAATTCCTGCCTTCAGAGCAGCCTTAAAGGCTTATTACAGTCCATTTTAGTGTTGCTTGTTTCAAAGTGTTTTTATGTCTACTGATCTTAAACCAAACGATATCGATACTTTATAAATTTTGCATAGTACTTAAAAAAACTCTCAGGTAGCAGAACATTAAAAAAACAATTGTTTCGTCTTTTATCGGATTTTTTTAACTTGCACCTTATTGCTAAAATCCATTTTATCGTTTTTTAACATCAGATTACCTTCGTATATTTTTTTATTTTATACAGCGCTAGAAGTAATTTTCCAAAACAAAATCCGGTGTAACGTCGTGTGTTACACAAACAATCTCATTTGCGCTTGTCATTGTCAATAATTTTATTAGTCTACAAGCCCCTTAGGGCTGGAAGCTATAATGATGTTTACGTAAATTGGGCGACATTTATTTACCTAGCTTTAGAATAGCTTACAAACTTAACAAGCTGTATGTATCAAAACTATTTGTGATTTAGTTTTTTTAATGGCTAATAAGTTGCAATATTTACAGATTAATAGGACTTTGACGTGTGCCAGAATAATAAGCAATTATAATGGTAGATGTAAATAATAATTATTAATAATACTTTTTATAGCAATAACAATATAACGGAAAAACTTTAAAAAAAGAAATATCTTACTAGCTGTTCGCCCGCCAGAAATTGAAAATAATAATAATAAAAAGTAGCCTATGTTACGTAAAGACAAATTACCTTTCTAAAGGTGAAGTAGTTTTTAAAATCAGTCCAGTAGTTTTTGACTTATTTAATATATACAAAAATACAAATCTTTCCTCTTTATAATATTAGTATTATATTTATAGGGTATGAAGGTATTCCCATAATGTTTACATCATAGTTATTAACATAAAAAAGGTTTATTTATCTGACGTAACAATAAAGTAATAAACGATAAAAGCTTTTATGGAACACTTGTACGCGCTTTATCAAAATTAAAAACATTCACATCAAGCCGTAAAAAAGCTGGAGTAGGTATAATTCGAGCAATAATTTGCCTAAAATTATATTTGCTGTGCACTTCACCAAGTGTTCAGTGACGCACGATGGTTTGAAACCCGTAGTCTTTGGCTTTACGGAGAACAAAGGTGACTTTTATAGTTTATTCGCAAGAATGTAGCTTACGTTGGGTGTGGTTTTTACTGTTCTTCCATAAACACGATCAAGGTATAAGTACTGTTTTCTTGATTAATTAAAGCTATCAAAGACGTTAATGTTACAACGCTGTTGCTATATTCTACCTCGATTCTTTTCATCTTTAAGAAAAGGAAACACTTGTTTGAAATTATATACCCCATTTATATTTCTTTGTAGCGCTTGAAACGTTAAGATTTTTTATTCGTTATTCTTTTGTTATCAAATTGTTTGAATGTCTAATTTCTAACTTAACTCTAACCGTTAAAAATATTCTTAGACAGTAAAGTAAAAAACGGTTTTGTAGCATTTTTAATGTTAATTTGTAGGTTTCTGTACCAAAATGCAAGTTGTAAGGTAATTGTTTTAATTTACTTTTTGATAGTGTGTTCGCGTTATATAACATAATCAGAATTCGCCAAAAAAGCGAAGCTACCGTTGGCAAAACACCCGTGCATATATAATCAATTTTACATGACATTTTTTATCACATTAATTAAACTTGTCACATTGTTACATTTACCTCTTTCTGTTTACCATCAAATTTTAATAGACTAACTACAATTACCAATTGTTTGCTTCCCAATCCGGTAATAATAACGAAGTAACGGCTCGTGCCAAGGCTCCTGAGGGAGCCCTCGAGCTTAGTTACTCATAAACGAGGTTTAGGCTAAGCGCCATCTGCGCTCGGCCACCTTAAGCCCGGTGAATCTGTAAATGCCTCTTCAAGGCAACAGTGGCCAATCAGTCACAAAAAAAAATCGTTTGCTTGTTTTGTGAATCCAAATAATTGTGTTTAAATCTAGAACAGAGATATTAAATTGAGGTTACCCAAGTTGTCGCGAAACATAATATCTACAAACAAAAGTTTTCCTTTGCCAAATTTTCTGATAGAATAATACAATGTCTGCCCATTGCTGCCTCTTACTCCGGATTACGTAATATTAATTTTCATTAAACAAAGTAATGAACCGTTGGAAAGCTTACAGTATCAGTGTCTGCTGTCATATAAATTAATTTTAAATTGGATTGTTTTGACCTTTTCATAAGACTTTATGATTTTTTTAGTATAAAATGTATTAAATTTTCTCAGATAAAATTACATTATTATTTGTGACATTTTGAAATACTTAAGGTACTACATGATACGACGATCTAACTAATAATATTTATAATTTTTTATGTCTATCAGTGTTCGATGTTTGCAGTCACAGATATAAGAATCAAAATACCTAAATTGTACATTCCGCGCATAGCAAAGTTTTGAAAGACACTCTTTTTCTTTCCACCCCGATTGGATTTAATGTATTTGAGAGCGTGTACTGGAAATTCAATTTGCGGCAAGAGTAAACCTGCCAGTTAGTTCACCTAAGCCCATCCTGACTTAATTGGTTTCAAATAATTTGCACAGGAATTGATTTTGGTCAATATATAAAGTGACAGTCTTTGTTTACTTTGAAACACCACCGATAACATTACAATTTTTCTATTACTGTTATCACCTGCTCACTTGCCCCACTCACTCACGTCCCCACTAACGGCTTGGAGCCAACCCCGAGTAAGAGGTAACTGTAATTTAGTAGTCTGAGTAGACTGTAATTTATTGAAATTATAGTTAAAAGTCTACAAAAAAATTTAAATAGTCTTTATCGAGACATACTAGCCTTATCGCAGTTGTCATCGTGGTAAAGAGAACATAACGTTACAGGAAACCAAGTCGAAGACCACCGCTGTGAAGCGGTAGGATAGCGTAGTGTGTTTTATTAGCATTTTTATCGTTCTGTCTTATACAATAAAAGGAATCAAGTATTACACTAAAAGGTAATTACTACATTCCTATTTGAAAATATATTACATATACTAATTTAGTTACACAGTATAGGGTTCAATTAATTGATTCAGTTTTATATTACCGTATATCATACGAGCTTTCGCCTGCGACTCTGTCCGCATGGAAAAAAAATACAAAGTAGCCTATGTGTTCTTTCTGACTACCTTCTAAATAAAAAAAAATCTCCAATTTCCGTTAAGCAGTTTCGGCTAGAAACTCTAACTATATCCATCCATCCATCCATCCATCTAAACGTTCGCATTTATGATATTAGTAAGATAATATCCTTAATATATTACCGCATAACCTATACATACTGACACGAGTAAATACATTACAATTATTTTATGTACGTATTTCACAAGTTTCCAAAATGTGTTGGTAACTTGATGGCCAAATTCTTTTCCGCATATACAATTAAGAGAGACAAATCTATTAGTTGCATTCGAATTATGAAATGACCTGTACGAACGATATCAACCCCGAAGAGGTTGAGACCGAACATACAGTACTAGAGGCACGGGGGTGAGGGCACTGGCAATAATCAACGGTACACCCCCAATGCGGGACACAAGGAAATAAAACCACGTAACGCTGGTTTATGAAAGACTCGTTTATTGGTGAACATGTATCACTTTATATTTCGTCTTGACTGCTGATCAAACATACTGCTTTACACGAGACTTTAGTGTGCGTACCTAGATGCTAGCGCGGCTACACGTGGGGCCCTAATCCCATTGGACTGTCTGGTAACATTGCTAATTTCTGCTAGGCATCAACTCTGCATAATTTTGCCCTCTATTCCACTGATTACTTGATCTTCAACGATCACCTACCAGCTTCTTGTTGTCATGGTCGTTCGCACGAACATGACCCCATCCCTAAAGGTCAGGCGGCAGAATCGACATTTAGTTTAGTGTGTTTAAAAACCAGATTTGTAATGTCGTTTTTTAAGAAAGAGAACAGCTGGTAAAGTAATAAAGATTTTAGGGAAAATCCATTCAGTTTTTAATCACTATGTAAACATTTATCGGATGTAAAACAGAAAAAAATATCTCCAGTCTGACCAGATACTAGAAGGAAATAAATCAAATTTTTATGTGTTTGTTTTAAAACTGTTTACATATAAACATTATAATTACAATTTATTTGGATCAAATTAAAAGGAAAGCGGAAATTAGTTCTAGTTTCTGTTTTTACTTGTAGTTATTGTTACTCGGAAATAATTTTTTTAATTAATGCCGAGTAAAAATAACTACAATCACCGATAAATCATCAGATAAACATATTTAAAATAATTAGACTATTTGCTCGTAAAACAATATTGAGAACAAACTTTAGAAAGTTTACCAAAATGTCAAATATGATCGGAAAATTTTGGTTAAAACATGGCTTAATGTCTATTACCTTAATGGTGGAGTGTTTACACGTCGTCTGAGAAAACATAGCAATTGATAACTTCCAAATACATAATGGCCTAATATCCTTAAACATTTTCATATGGAAAAATTTCAATTCAATTCAAAATATAAATACTTTGATTTGCGGAATATTAATTTTAACAAAATAAATTCTTAAGTTAATGTTCAAGTTTTTGTAAATTAATTTTGTTAATTTAACGCCCATACCTTTTAGAACTACATAATATAAGTTAAATCCCCTACCATTATCTATAATAAAATTTAAATTTTCTAGAACATTTTCTCCACGGCCGGGGTGTTCACTTAGCTTAATTGTTTTAAGCTTAGTCTCATTAAAGTTCTATGTTTAGATTAAGTTGTGGTTGAGCTTTTGTTCGCGTAGACATTTTATGTTGTTACATAAGTATTGTTAGGCAACCAAATTCTAATTATCGAATAACAAGTTTTTGTAAGCTTGAAGATTTCTTTTAGGATTTTTTCGGATGTATAAAGGGAAATGGCATTTTGGACGCTAAAATGTTACATTTGCAAGATTACGTCCTAGATAAAGCTTACCAACAATTTAATCTTAGTTGGATATACATTTTTAACGCTTTTTCCGTAATAATGTTCTGTATATTTCAAACATTTGGATACGAGAGCTAAAACGTTTCGCCGACTTTTTAGTCGGTTTCAAAGAGATTGCAGATATGCTTTTGTCGTATTTCGAGGCCCATGTGAAGTTGCTTTTATATTTTTTGCTATGCGGAAAACAAAAGATATTATGGTTGAATGTAAAACCGCCAATCTTGAAGCAAAATTTTACTTTTAACTAAACTAGAATTCCAAAATTTAATGAAAACATTTATTGTACATTAGCTAATTTTAAATTAAACCTTCCCCTCACTATATCCTAACATTACATTATTTTTTATGGATTTAAATCGTTTAGCAAACCGGATCACTAGGCATAATCGAATCATTTATATTTTAAACTTAGCGTACATTTCGTGTCTTTATAGGACTTACATTTCGCTTCGGTTTCGGTTTGTTTTCACGTGATTGAAGTCTTTTTTGATTTATTCTTTAGGTAATATACAATACTTTTAGTACAATTCATTTTAAAGTTAAATGTTTATGCTATTTTTAAACGAATCATGCATTGTAGCGTTTCTACAACTGGAATTCTTTTATCTGTTTATTGTTTCAGCATTTGTTACAATCAACGATCTCGTGACCTTCTGCCGAGTTCGATGTTTCATGAGACGAATGTTTGTTCAATTTATACAAACGTTTGTTTTCGAATTCCATTATTGATTTATTGAACGACAAACTCTGAGTTATTGAACATATTTAAAAGAGAATTTTAAATGCGAATCGTAGTTTACAAACATAACTTTTATTTTGGATGCAACTTAATTTTGTGCATTGTTCTTTAAAGCAAAACATGTCTTATTGTAAGGAGTTAGACTTTATTTTTCCAAACGTGTGTTCACTGATTTTTTTTTGTTGCAGTACACCAAGTGCAGGCCAAGATGATGACTCCGACTGGTCAAGGAATATATCCATGGAAGAATATCTCAATCAAAACGGCACAAATGATACATACGGTAATAATAACCTTTTAAAAATAAGCCTCCTACAGCTTTATTACAATATATCACATAATAATGACGCTCAATGAACGACTGAACGAATGAACGACTGATCCAGATTTGTACCGAAAACGATAAAGTTCACGGTTACGAGTTTGAGTTATTTCTGTTGATAAAATAAACAATCATTTTACTACAGTCAAAGTATTATTAGACGTAACAAAAGGTCAATAAAATTTTACGCGGTTGCAACGAGACTATCTGATGTTTTATTTGGCGCTACGATACGATACGCTATTTCACATGTTCTTGGAATTAAAGTCTGATAGTAATACAACTGGACGTGGGATTTGAATATAAAAAACGTTATTTTTTCCCACTAGCGGTTATACGTTTTTTCAATACAAATTTGTAATAATAATCTCATATCAAGGTGAAATATTCGAAGTGTATAAACGTATATTATTTTACATTTACGTGAGTGATTATGTTCTAATATATGAGGGTCTCAAGTAAGCAATTTAAGAAGCTCCTTAGCTTCGTACACTTTGTGGTACTTTACAGATAATGGTCATAAAAGCTACGATGATAATAATTTTTTAGCTTGTACACTGTTATCTATTTTAAAATGGTGTAGATACAGAGTGTGTTAAATTGTTTGAAAATATTACCATTTTGAAAAAAATCATTATAACAATATTTTGTTTTATATTAGAAATATTATTTCAGACACCCTGTATGATGTGCCTACTGGCTTGATAGTGCTGTTGTCGGTATTGTATGGGTCGATATCGATGTTGGCTGTGGTCGGTAACTTCCTAGTGATGTGGGTGGTGGCCACCTCCCGCCGCATGCAGAGCGTCACCAACTGTTACATCGCTAACCTAGCACTCGCAGACATCGTCATAGGACTATTTGCTATACCATTCCAAGTATGTCAATTGTTTTTTAAATACGTTTATATTTCTTTTATAAGTGGCCATATAGTTTTATACTTGATCTGAAACTATTCTATCGCACAACTGTTTAGTCGTGCTTCGATTTTTATGCGCTTATAGATATGAAGGTGCGCTCACTACTCGATTTTTAGTTGTGCAACTAAACAGTTGAATTGCCTACGAAACAATCGACATCACAAGAGTGCGATAGTCAAACTAATTGTCTTGAAAGATCGTTTTCTGAATTAATAAAAAGAAACAAGTTTGTTTTTTTTTTTAGTAGAAACTTTATTAATATTACTAATATGCGTATGACTAATTATTATTACTTGAACTAATGAGCGAAGTTGTGTAATAACTTCTCTCCTACTTGCAGTTCGGCTTCAATGAAGCAAAGGTTCTTTATGATGTTACCAGATGTTACATTTCCTTAAGCCGTGTTCCTTTATATTAAACCTTTACCATTTTGTTATAACTCCACATAATTGCAACTATTATTGGATATTACTTGGTTTTCTTTACGGCTTACAAACTCGGTTATAACAGAGTTTATCTCTTATTGTATTAGTAATACAAATAACAACGACTTTACTTTAGGTAATGGGTAAATCAGTTAGTTTCCAGAAACTGTTACGGGCTATGATAAAGTTAGCATTAAGGGTTTTTTTAATTAAAAAAAATCTTAAAGTAAAATACTAATATTTTTCTAAAGAAATGTGAGCAAAAATCTCATTTTTATTGACGTACACCGTATTGTAATTAATTACAAAGGTTTTTTATGTTTTTGCTGATGACTAAATTCAGGTATGTTACAGTTCCAAGCAGCGCTGCTGCAGCGATGGCTGCTGCCGCACTTCATGTGCGCCTTCTGTCCGTTCGTGCAGGCGCTCAGCGTCAACGTGAGTGTGTTCACATTGACCGCGATTGCTGTCGACAGGCACCGCGCTATTATCACACCCCTAAGGTATGTAGGTTTTAGTATGTGCTGAAGTACGGTTTTTTATTATTAAGGCGGCAAACGAGCAAACGGCCACCTAAATTCGTCGAATTGTCGAAGCGACTACATACTAATATTATAAATGCGAAAGTTTAGATGGATGGATGTTTGTTAGAATTTGTAGCCTAAACGCCTGACCGGATTTAGATAAAAATTGGCATAAATGTAGGACGTAGTTTAGTCTGTGTTCATAGGGTACTTTTTTATTTTTTTAATTCACGCAGACGGAGTCGTGGGCGAAAGCTAGTATTTTAAAAATATGACATCAATGATCTTCTAAAAATAGTTATTAAAGTATTGTCGTATGGAACTTACAGTTTAACATCGATTAAAAACAATTAAAGCAAGTTCCAGTGAATATAATATAATTGGCCACAACATCTACATAAAAGGATTTTAACTACCGAAAGCAAGTTTTAGAACGTCAACACAAAGGATTTCATTTATCATTGTTGGACAAGTGAACCCTCTTAACATGACCACCCAAGCGTAGTTATGAGGCTTCATTGAATACCTAGACATCATACCGCCTGACATGGAAATTACTATCTGGACCGGAAAATTAGTCAATAACAAATTCAGTCCACTATTAGATCAAACATTATCTAAAATACCCCTTTGTAGTCGCTATATACCAGTTCTATGTATTTATGAATACTATCGCATACTTCTGTGAATAAATCAAAATATTATACTTGCAAATAAACAAGAACGAACTAGTGAATGTTCAGGAACTGCGGAAGCACAAAGCTCTACTGGTGTATTGCACAAAGCGAGATCACCGGATGTGCTTTTCAAGTACATTATTAACTTCAAGCTGAGTTAAGTCTTTGCGACATAGAACTTGTGCTCTTCCGCTGTAGACATTTCGACCTTTGTAGAAACAAATTAGGTAGTACATTTTAAATATCTATAAAAAGATAAGACGAAATCCATCATATATTTTTTTTGTTTTTTGGTTAATAAATTTTACGCAAAAGTCCATGTGTTTGAGTGCAAGGCATTTGACGTCATTTCCTCAGAAAAAAAATGATATAACAAAGTGTATGCATCGGCGGTATAAACCTACCCTTATATGTAATTTTAATACTCCGTCCTTTGTTTCAGTGCACATACTTCCAAACGTGTCGCCAAAGTGATTATAGTACTTATTTGGGTCCTCGCCTTGTCTCTCGCGGCTCCAATGGCTATGTCTTGGGAAGTCATTATGGAAGAAGAAATAGACCCGGGTATGTTTTTAATTTACCTTTCGAGAATCGTAAATCAAGTAACTTAATTCTTAAATGCAATGTTAAGTGTGACAACCAACTAATAAAAAAAATCTACTGAACTAGGTTAGAGAAAAATTCTTGCTATTTTAATCTTATTGTGCTGGTATCATATAACATTTTTTTGCTACAAAAAACTCCGACAAATCAAGGGTTAATAGCCAGATTATTATGTGGTAGATAATTATTTATTTAATAAAGTTTGTATCCTACAGTGACACGACAAATGTACAAGAAACCATTTTGTACTGCGAGTGAATTTGGATCGCATTCGTTGGCCATTTACAGATTGCTGTTATACATATTTCAAGTGAGTTGAAATACATTCGCTATTTTTGATTTCCATTCACAGTTTTTAATAGTTCAAAATACGATAAACAAACAGAGTTGTTCGTAAATGGAACAAAAATCTGTCTTTAATTAACGATCTCTAAAAAAACAAATTGAGGCGAAATCTCTCGATTCACGATAATACTTTGTATTTCTTTCTTTCTTCTTGTATTTTTAACATATTGCCGCCACTTTTCCTAATGTAATGATTCTGATTTTTTTCATTTAATAATAACAGACATTGTTAAGAAAACAGATGTCCGTTATTTTAGGTTATTGTGTTTTAAAATTAGCTAATATAGTTATAAAACTTTTTAACTTGCTTTAAATTGCCTTCTTAATTTTAATTTGTTTTAATAAAATGACTTTATTATCTTAATTCAAGTCATTCCGTTTTAATTTCGAAGTCTATTTTAACATTCATTGCAAGAATGTTTCTTATATAACAATGATTTATGTGTTCCATCTATTACTGTTATTACAATGTACGTGAGTATAATAACTAATTAATTGTGCTGTTCAGTACGTGATACCGCTGTGTGTGATAACTTTCGCGTACGCTCACATGGCGATGAAGCTATGGGGCGCGCGAGCCCCGGGCAACGCACAAGAGACGCGAGACGCTAATCAGATGAAGAACAAGAAACGGGTAACGTATATCTTATTTCAATAGAATACTATAAATAATTTCACTAACAAGAAATTACACATTTTACGATGCAATTCTTAAATATTTGCAGTTAAATTTATTCGCATAACTATGTAAAGCCCGTTACACACGTTCAATTTTGATGGATCGTTCAGATTAACCTGTAGCAGAATTAACAACAGCTGACTTATTTTAGAAATATCATTATACTAACTGCCGTATGCTGAAACGAATATTTAGCACTTTTTTTCGTAAGTGTCGCTTACAGATGACAAATTTTAGCATAATTTGGATTTGATTTCAGGCTGTTAAATGTTGTTTCAAGCTATATTATCTATACTAATATTACAAAGAGGAAAGATTTATATTTTTATATGTATTGAAATAACTCAAAAACTACTGGGTCGATTTAAAAAATTCTTTCACTATTAAAAAGCTACGTTATCTGTGGTTGTGGTATAGGCTGTTTTTTTTTTCTAATTTCACATGGGCGAAGTCGCTAGCTACAGAAAGAATTAAATATTACGATCCTTTCATCGACCCGTTATAGATGCTACAGTTGTAATGTTTTAAAAGTAATAGTTTTAAAAGAAAATTCGGACTTTGGCTTTAATAATTCACCCATCACGTGCTAGTTTAATGTTTTGTAAAATTGTGTTTTATGTGATTATGTTTCCGGTTACTAAAACGTATATTTGAATATTAAAAACTTCTCTGTAGATATAAACTTTGTACGAATAACGAATTCCATATTTCTATTAACATATCAAATAGAAATAACTTTTACTACTTTAAAATATATACCAGTGGAGCATTTTTCCGTTCATTATATTTACTTTATTTATTTGTTCGACCGAGTTCAGAGCACCAATAAACTTTGTTATGACATTTCAATTTTACCCATTTATTTTCTTTGTATGTTTTGTACATTTTCAAGGAGAAGGTTTATTAAACTTTAGGTTAAGATATTATTTTATATTGAGATGTCTATTTAACTGTTACTTTCAGTTGGCGCTCGTACATAGTTTTAAGTTACCTATTTTTTTAAACTGCCTAGAGATAGTGATGCCGATAATGTTGTTAAACTTGTGTTACGATAGTGGGAATTCACATAAAGGTCGTCAATTTAAAAGGAATTTCATGACTTAAATTCTACTCACCAATTTAGGTTTTACATTTTAAGGTGAACTTGATGTTTGCTTCACAATTTGGAAATTTGTACTTATGTGTTTCTAACGCATCTTTGTTGCAGGTAATAAAAATGTTAGTGCTAGTCGTGGCTCTGTTCGCGCTGTGTTGGCTGCCACTTCAGAGTTACATGTTGCTACAATCGTTTTTTCCATCGATAAATGAGTAAGTTTTACACATTTTCAATTCTTTATTTTAATGTCTCATGTGTCGTTTTTTGATCACTTTCACAGCAATCTTATTAATGTTATAAATATGAAAGGTTGGATGGATGTCTGTTGTAGCCTTAACGGCTGGAACGGAAGAACACATATTTGCTTTTTTTTAATTCATTTACACGGAGTCGTGTGCGAAAGCTAAACCTAATGCTATCGAATTGAAAACGTAAAAGAAATAAAAATGCTCTAGGAACTATCAATGTGAAGTTGACATTTTGAGTCTCATTCTTCGGAAATAAGGGTTTAAAGTCGTGTTTGTTTTATTTAATTAGCTATTTCTTGTTCCAGGTACAGATATATTAATGTCTTATTCTTTTGCTTCGATTGGTTAGCGATGAGTAACTCTTGCTACAATCCCTTCATCTACGCTATTTACAATGTAAGTAATAATCTTTGATTTTGATACTATTATGCCTAGAACTACTGGTGTAGAACACTATAGAGTTAAAAAGTTGATTACATAGCATTTAATTCAAATATCTTTATCATATTAAAACTGGTAATATTCATGTTTTTGTCGACTTTTGTACTAATTTTGAAGCTGAAATTGATACTTTCCTAGGAAACTTGTTAAAAATAAAATATGCTTCTCTTGAGATTTAAGGGATAGTATTTTTCTTAAAAGTTTCGAGTTTCGAAGACTTTCGTAGGCGCTGTGTAAATGTAAATTCTAGACAAATTCCGTCGCTTGATATTTATACTCTGATTTATTATCTTACAATGGACTAAAAAAAATTTTTTCCTTGTTGTTACAAAGTAATCTAAAAATATAGTAACAAGAAATTATCTTACAGGAAAAATTCAAGAAGGAATTTAAACAACGTTTCACGCTACGAAAGACAAGAAATAAATTCCACAATGATAGTTATGAGGTAATTGTAATAACAAACATACAAATATCGGCTTAATTTATACGATGTTATAAAGCTTAATATCGTTTACAGGATGGCCAGTCGTATCGTACAAGAGTACTTTCGTTTCGGTCGACTAATGAACGGAGTTCATATTATACAAGGAAATCAATAAGTTTTGGTCCAACGGATGCTGTGAAAGCTCAAACTAGAAACTCCTGTTACTGTGCAAGGAATTCTAATGCAAATTTGGAAGGTGAATCTCGTCTAAATGTCACAGGTGATAGCTACACGAATGGAACGAATAAAAATGGTTTGAAAACTACTGACACATCGAATAAGAGGAATAAATCAAAGAGAGTTACAAAAGACGACACGATACCCGTCGGCGATGAACGTGTTAGTGAACTGTACATATTTCCCAATAGTAACGTTGTGGAATTCACAGACGTGCTATGTGATAATAAAGTGTAAATTAGCCAGTCTCGTAAGTCATAGTATTTATTGAATTATCAAATATGTGATATGATAAAGTAGATTTACTCTTATAATAAGAATTAAACTCGTAGATGTTGTTCCTTGTTTTATTTGTAAAAATAATCCTGATCTATAAAATAACCTGATAGAAATATGCAAGTACACAAGGGACACTACTGAAACGACATATAAATATATCACAGATTCCTCCTCAAGTCCAAATTCCATTAAAATGCCTCAGTTTGTAAGCGACGCTTACGATGCGAAGTGTTTAAGAGCCGTTGCACTGTTCAGCCGTGTATTTTCTAAGGTTTTTATCAAAAGAATTGACTGCGTTCTCGCTATAAAAGTATAAATACATTGCGACCAACGTAATTGCTTTTCAACGACGTTCTATTGTTTGCGACAATAAGAAGAGCTCGGAATTTTATTTTACGTCCAGTATCTGTACCGTTAAAGAAAAAAATCTTTTATAAAGACACTACATTTTCAATGAAACAGAATTCAACTCACGTACATATAAGAATAAAACCTTTTTCACATTATAACTAAAATATTATATAAAAATAGACGCGGAAAATTATAAATAGGTGTGATACCTTATGTAAAACATTATCGTTATTCAAATATTTATAGCATAAATAAATTGTGTTCCAAAATCCTAGTATCAGCTCTGTAATAAATGTGAATTATTACATAAACGCTTACCTAGTGAATCTATAATAACCTTTGCTTTTCGACAGTTAAATCCAAAAAGCACATATCCCGATATCAAATTAGGTGACGTGTACGTGTGCTCGCGTTCATTTTCACATAATAGAAATTCTAGAATCTATACTAATATTATAAAGAGAGAAGATTCGTAGTTTTGGATTTTTGTATGTATTTAAATAACTCAAAAACTACTGGACCGATTTCACTGAGTAACATAGGCTATACTTTCACTATTTATTAATATAACGCAGACAAAGTCGCGAGCAACAGCTTGTAAGTAATAGGGATTGACGCAAGTATGAAAAACTACGTTATACGCTTTTTGAATTATTTGTAATAAAATATTTATACATTATAAAGAGGAAAAATTTGTATTTTAGTATGTTTATTCACCGTTGGAAAGCTAATTTATCTGTGAGTAACAAAGGCTATTTTTTTTTTAATTTCACGTGGGCGAAGTCGAGCAATAGCTAGTTTGTAATAAACAGCTACAAGATATATCAGTAATATAAGTAGTTCATAATTAAGATTATTGTATTTAAAAAATATATATCAGTAATTCTACACTAGGCAAACTGCAACATTATTTTAATGATATGCATATACCCCAGCAACATGCAAATTTATCCTACTGGGACATCGTTAATTTATCATTTGTCATGTAAAAACTAGATTTCAGAGAAACGTGTCATGGCCTTTAAGTTGAACCTGATAATAATTCTGACCATGTTTGTTGTAGATGAAGTATTGTGGACCTGTATTTTTTCGTGTGGGTTTTACAGTTTATTTCTGAGAACAAAAAGTTAATTCCTGTACATTAAAAACTGAAAGACTAACTAAGAAATATAAGACACTAAACAAGCAATGCTGCACTTTGAGATAAGCTATTCTTAAAATTATTCTATTATTCTAATCCCTCTTACTTTTATGATGAACGTAACTAAACTCAATCAAAGGTAATTAAATAAAGTGTGAAAAATGTGGTTTAAATAATATGATTTCTTCACAGTTCTTTTATCCAGTTTGTTTTAAATAAAACGTTTGATCTGAAGATGTGCCAATCTTAGATAAAATCAAAAAGGATTGATCGTTTATTTTTATTCTAATTTAAGAAATCGTCAAACAAATATTGAATAAATCTTAATACGATCACATAACTCTTAAAACTTGGAGCGAAATTGGTTATTTTAAAATATTGCTATTTTATTAACTAAATACTCGCTTAAAAATACCGCATTGATCAAGTTAACTTTTCAACAAGGTAATAACATAAATATCGGAACATTTCTTTGACAAAACGCTACAGGCTGACAAAAACATAGGCATGTATTAAATTTCATACTTACAGCCCTCTATTATTGCCGAAATAATATATTATAGCACTTTTGTTACAATGTAAAAGCTTACGTTTTAACATTCTAAAACAAGCTTTTGTGTTTATATTAAGCTTTAGCACAGAGGCTAGGGAGCTTCCTACCGTACTATTATTGTTACAGACTTAACTGCAAATCCTCTTAGTTTATATAACACTTAACAATGTACAGAACCAAATACTTCACGAGGCATTACATAGGATTAGTTTGCGCGATTACGTTAGCTAATATTTCTGAGTTAAATGTTGTTTATATTTCTTTTTAGTGTAGTCTTGTTTGTCTCAAGAAAGATGAACAATTGGAGATTTAAGCTCGTTCTTTAAAATTTAGTATAAATTTATACAGGGATTATAAAGTATGTTGGTGTTATCTATAACAATGATTCACTTAATAAATGACATAAAACGAAAATTATAATTCCAAGCTATTAATCCCAGAAATTTTTCCACTTTGAAAATATAAACATGACATAGATATTTACATTAAAACATTTTAATCGAATTAAAAGGAATGAGATAAAAGTTTAAATGTTCAAAGATAAAGGGATAATATTAATTAAATTTCACGACAACCATCTTCATTGGAAGTTTAATTTCCTTAAACTTTAAACAGATAAAATAAACGGAAATCAGATTTCTTACTTAAAGGCCACCAAAGTAAATAAAGTGCCAAATTAATTAGATTTGTACTAACTATACATTTAAAAGTTTAACAATATCGCAGGGAATGTTATTTTAAATTTATTCTGTTATGTTATAATTTTTAATCCGTTTTAATTAGTAAGAGCGTCAACTAATAAGTAAAACATTAACTTGAATCGAGTTGAAAGTGCTTACTCGAAAAACCTTTTAATTAACTCTCATCCAATTATCCCTTCCAGTTATCTTAAGAAAAGGCAAGCCTTCCTTTCCATTCAAGATTCTGTTTAATTTCAACAAAACGGGGCGAGTTTGTAAAGAAAATTTTTGCGTAGATAGGCATTAACTTACATATTGATTAGTTTTACTAATAGGCTTATAAAGATTATCTAAATGTTTATTTTAGTTGTAGATTGCTCGAAGCCACAAAAAGACAAAATATTTTCCGAATAGATTTAAGAGTCGACCTCTGGAATGGAACAACCCAATGAACTGGAAACATGATACGAGCGACTTGACATATTGCGCAATTGTTTCTATTAACCGCATTTTTTTAGATAATTTAAATTGATTTAAATGGTAAAATGCTACAGTATAGAACACTCTCCCAATATCTTAATTTGTTAATAAGTTTTTGGTACTTATTGTCATTTTCAGTTTGCTCAGCTCGAACTGTAAAAACTTCGCATTGAAAATTCATACAGCTGTTGCCACGCTTGGACCTACGTGCTAGAAAGTGAAGAAAGTCTACAAAGTGATGTAGAGCTTAAAAGAAAGAATTTAGTTATGTCAAATTGCTGCAATACGGTTTAACCGTATCTGTTGTTATATTTATAATAAAATTTTGTTTCAGTACATATTTTTATATCCAGTAATATCTAAAATTGAATTTTCGTATACTGTTAATGATATCGTTGCGTATTAAAGTTGAAATAAATTAATTTCTTATATTTCCACAAGTTTCATGTTACTTTGCTAACAGCAAAAGGTTATTCTAAAGCAATAAAAATGTCATTATAAGCTGGGTTCTTAACGAATTCCGGAAGCTCTAGCCTTGAACCCTTTTATGTAAATTGCTTCGAAATTACAAATACGTGTTTTGTAACTTCTTGGATATGAATCATTGTCATTAACTACACAATAGGAGAAATTGTTGCCCCAATAATACCTACAATCTATAATACAAGATATTTTAACTTAAACTTTGGAAATCATCAAGTCATATAACTATGTTAGGTAGTAAATTGGTTGTGTGTGTCGTCGATGATGATGACTTTATAGATTTTTTTTAATTGTACATTTTAAATCACAGAGAGATATAATAACACAAACAACGTGTAAGAGCGCACACCTTTGACTAAACTATCGCAGAACTGATTAGTCATGCTTTGATTCATATAAACTTGTATGGAGGTGTACAAATTACTGGATTTTTAGTTGTCAAACTAAACAGTTGATTTGGCTGCGAAACAATCGACAATCGCACAGTTGACACCTTTGACTTTGACTTTGTCAAAGGTGTCAATTGTGCGATTGTCAAAGGTGTGCGCCAGCTCTAAGTGATACAGTTTAAAATTAGGTAACTAGACACAGAACACTCGTACAGCTGGCATGATAAGCCATCGTATCATGATGCACGCTGACATAATAAATTGATAAAAGAATCCATGTGTAACATTATCGACGAGCCAGCTTACGCATGCATTTGTTTTGATTGATCGTTCAATGTTCAAAATTAATCCACTAATATTATTCTTCCATAAAAAAGTAACAAAAACGTCATGATTTTTGTTAACAAACTTAACAAAAATCAAGTCAATTTTTTTTTGACTTGATTTAATACGAAGTCCTGTCCGTTAAAGTTGCTTTGATTTTAGACAATCAAATTACTAAGTTAAAGTAATTTGGGGCAAAAGAGTAAAGTTAAATGTCAATCAGTGTGATATCTTTATTCCATCCAATATAGCTTTTGTTTACTTTATTCTAGACTTTGTTATTAGTTATAAACAACCGAAAATAGAATTTAATCTTTCCAGTCACTTATTAAATATATTATATTTTCTTAAAAATAAAGAAACAGCATACGTCTGAATAGATTTGATTATGAGCTCGAGGTAATCATACGAAAAACCAGCAAAATTTTGTAAAAACGCTTTAATCTTTTTGTTTATTTCAAAGATAACGAATGGCAATGTGTTTTTATACAAGTATTATGACAATGAAAACTCATTCATCAGAATTCAAGGAATCGACAATAATTCTAGTTAAATTG